AAATGTACTGGAGAAAAAAAAACATAACGAGCTGCTGTTTTGATTGTTATTGCATGTATGTCGTAATCGTACGATGGCGTTTCATGTCAATATACCCCTTCGTAAATATTACCAGTTGCCAAATTGTCGGCAAAAGTGCCAACTCTTGGGCATTTTATTAAAGGGCAGTCTAAAAAAGAAGACTGTGCTCATTCTTTTCCGGGAGTTATTCTCCTTTTATATTGAAATGATATGAAAGGTTTATTTATTGAAATAAAATATAACTCATCTGGTTTTTTAAATTAATTGTCCTTTTAAGGAATACGGTGAACGTTACTAGGCGTACAAGCGGGGCAGTGCGGACCGAATAACATTTTATACTACCACACTGTTGTAACAATTTTACAAAATTTCACTGTTGCTTTTCATTTCCGTGCACGAATAATCCTGATCACGTTAAAGTCTTGTGAAAAAGCAAATTCAGTAGTTTCTGCCAATCTTTCAACCTGTTTTTTAAGGTCATCACCAAGGCAAAGCAATCTTAAATTGACATAATTAAGTTTGTAGAACTGTTCAGTCCCAATATTGCCAAGTACTAAAAATTTATTAATTATTGATTTATTTCTATGGCTGGAGGATATTGTTTAAAGAATTTTTAAAGCTGGAAAAGTGGGTCAGTCAGCGTAATCAGTTAAAGGATGGGATAACGGTATGATCACAATTGAGTTATCTTAATGAAACTACTGGGTTGTTTCACATGAAATGTCCGTTTCCAGTTTTTTTTAATAAAATTACTATATAAAAACAAAATAATTTTATTCCAAGTTTTTACCTTTATTTTGTACACATTTTTCCTAACGCGTGATCAACTTTTTTTTTGCCGGAACTGAAGAATTCTGAGCTTTGAAATGAAACAAAGTCTTAAAACGCCTTTTGGACTTGAACATCATTTACAAAAAATTTTCCTTTGACTATAGTCGTCTAAATTACTAAACAGGTGAAAATCTGTTGGAGACGAGTCTGGAGAATAAGCTGAAGAATTTCCTAGCTCTTTCATTTATTTATAGTTTGTTTTGAAACATGAGACCTGGCGTTGTCGTGAAGGAGTATAGGACCTTTCCGATTTACCAATGATGGTTGTTTTTTTGAGTAATTTTTTATGCATTTCCTCAATTTCCTTGCAGTACGATGTAGAGGTAATGGTCTCACCTCTAAGCAACAGGAGTAGTGAATAATTCCATTCAAGGCCATCATATGGTAACCATCACTTTTTTGGGTGTAAATTTGGTTTTGGCATGTGTCCTGGTCTTTCGTCGATGTTTAACCATAGCACTGACCGACGTTGATTGTAATATGCAATCCATTTTTGTCCATCCGCAACTTATTGTTCTTTCAAGAAAAGGCTCGTTTTTTTTTGCCTGCCGAGGAACGAAACGCATATCTCAAGGTTTAACTGCTGTCGTTCAGTGAGCTCATGAGGGACCCTTAGATCAAGCTTTTTGACTTTTCCTATGCTCCTTAACCATTGGCACGGTAGCTGCACTTGCATTTAGTTGTGCTGCGAGTCCTCGGTTTGATAGTGGTTTTCTTTCACCTGAAGCTTAAAGACATCGTTGTCAATTAAAGTTAGAAGGCTTCCGTGTAGCTCGTTTTCCAAAACGGTATTCCCTTCCGAAAACTTAGCAGAACAACCAAAACAACGGCGAATGGTCAAGTCATTTACACTCCTTTCCCCAAACGCCTTACTGATGTTTCTTTTAGCCTCAGCTGCCGAATGACCGAGTTTAATTATCGTAAAGGAATATTACACGAAAATCGCGTGTTTCCATGTTCTTATTTGGAGGTATACTAAAAAGTGTGTAATGGATTGGGGAGCTCATCATTTAAACAAAAGGGGAGGATTAATAACTGCATAATTATAATATGTAAACTAAGTAAACAGCAGAAAACCGCTATATACTTTCTGATTTCTGAAACTATAAAATCAGACATTTCATTTGAAACAATCCAATAAGAATCTTATGTTTTTGAAAATAGTTTTCTTCAAATCGGAAAGGGTGTTTTTAAAACTAACCCTCCACGGATCGGCGGTCTATTTTTACCAATTCCGTGGGAGTCTTACTTCCGGCATCTGTCTAATAACGGAATCCATCGGCATATGATGAATTTCTCTTATTGATAATATTTCTGTTTGATGATGTGATTCTGGTTGAATGGACCTCTTCACGCTTGCGATCCATGTTTCTTATTTTTTTACAATTTTCTTTCTAGCTTATATTACGTCTCCCATCCGGTTAAATAAAGAATGAGGGGCGGCACGACTCTATTGTAAGAGTCCGGTAGGAAAAGAAGGTCAAATAGGGTCAGAGCTTAACCCAATTCCTGATTCAATGCGCAACTTTACAATAACTCATTTCCTCTCGTCTCTCCGACGAAACAGACGCCCGCGTTATGGATAAAATAAGCACGCGTCTTATCCGTTATTATTTAATTTATTTTTCTTATTTTATTTTTTTAATTTCCACAAATAAGAAATATACATCGGATGGGGGTTGATATTGCGGGTGTGGCGGCAAGTAAACAGTGTGTTTGGGTGGAGGCAGACGCAACGTTTGGGTGTATATCGACCCTTCGGCGGGGGTGGAGTTGGTAGGACATCCCTCCGACCCACCCCTCATTCTGTCTAGTCTGCCCGCTTAGCAACTCAACCCTTACAGTATCGGCCAACAATTTATATACTCGTACAAATGCCTTGGTCGTCACCCAAACATTCCCCCCCTTCAACAAAAATGCATTACATTCGTTTTAATCCATTTAAACACGTTTTCAGGTAGATTTTTACGTTTCAATCCCTGTTCTTTGATAATAGGCGAAGAGTAAAAATTTTTTAAACAATCAAATGAAATTTGTACGCAAAAAACAATGACATTTAAATTATTTATTTTTTTTATATTTCTAAAAGATGGAATGAATGCAATGTTTATCAAAGCATTCAGGAAAATTTAACCAATTTATTTCTGAATCCATAATTTCATTGTGTGTACATTTTTGTAAATGTAATTGGTATTCAGCATTGCAATGTACACTAAGATCAAAAAACCAGACTCTCATATTTTTTGTTTATTTAAAACTCTATATACAAAAGACTATACACTGACAGGCAAAAAATTCCACCCACTTGTAATATAACTTGATTTGTATATATTTTTATATATTAATCGAAGTTTCACGCTTTTTAACATTTAATGTCTAAAAAAGTAGAAAAAAATGTTGTAAATTGCTAAGGAAAATGAAAAATTAATAAAAAGGCGGACAGATAAAATTTGTTTTAATTTTGTTTTAGATTTTTAATTAAGATTTCAATATCGCTTATTTCCTTCTCTTGAATTAATTACATCTTGAAATCACAAAGACGCCACAACATACTTTCTACTAGTCTGGATTGTGGAGTGTATCAGGGAGTGATAGAAGTGTTCTTATTCATCTTTTGAGGTTATCCCATAAATGTTCGATGGGGTTCAAGTCTAGATAAACTTGAAAAGAAACTGTGAGTGGCTAAGACCCTAACATTATGCTGTTGAGCATACGTTTGTATTATGCGAGCGACATGCGGACAGGCATTATCTTGCATTAGAATAGGATTGTCGCTGATTTCATTGAGGATAGGTGATGTATGATGTTCCAAAATTTCATCCACATAGAGAGTGGCCATGACCAATCATCCAAAGACTAATGGCTGTGTTCTCGAGCAAATGTGAGCCATGCAACTCTGTGTTCTGGTCAATTCTGGCCCTCTTACAGGGTGAAAAACCATAGTCCATACTGATTTAATCTCCTCTACCAATACTTGAAAACAGTAAGGTGCTTGTTTCGCAAAATTCTCAGTAAACAGTCATCCTGTGGTCCTGTTACCCCAGGGCATCGAGAACCAGGCCTTTTATGGTAGGACCCTGTTTTTCAAAAACCTCTAATGGCCATGGCGTCTCACAGTGTTTCCTATGGAACTCCGATGGCCATAGCCTGATGGAACGTCCATCATCAATAAGTGTCACACCACGCACAACATCTTTAGCACTAAGTGGCATTTTTAAGTTTAAATATTGAAATTATGAAAACAATGATGAAAACTAAACAGTTTATTGCTTCAGAATTCAAATGAGATTGATTAAATATTCTAAATTCCATAAAAAGTAAACATCGAAAAATCCTTTATCTTTGTATTGGATCAAGAATTTCGTGTGTTTACCTCTAATTGATATTCCCAATTTAAAATGTAGCATAAACAATATTTATTGGTAAAAACAATGATACAAATTTAGGGCACAATTTTCTTTTATTGAGAGAATGAAAAAAATGAATTGGATGGAAGTTTTTGCCTGTCAGTGTATTTTTATCATTACATTAAATACAATGTACTGATGTTAATGTAAACCAAATTAAAAAAAGCTCAATTAACCAAATTCATGAGTTGTTTCTTGGATGATGTTCTCTATATTCATTTCAAATTCAGGTGTCTGTGAGTGTCTTAACTTTGCATACCTTATAGCAGGACAGAATTGTTGTAACTAAACTGTTCTTTCTTTGACGACTCAGAGAAATATCATGATTACAGAAGAACTTTTTTGTATTAGGAAGGCTGCAAGGGCTCCATTTAATGTTTTCATCTCGAGATGATGACCGTTTTCGTTGATACTACGATAAACTGTTGTTGCAAATCTTTCAAGTCTTGCAACTCCATTTACTTAGTTGTTTAATTTCAAAGTACAATCAGTATCTTATCTTGCAAATGCTACAGATCTGACTTATTTTAATTTCTGATTTAATATGTAACAACTAAATTATTAACAAGCCTTTCTATTGTTTTCAATGTGTTGAAACTATTCCATTTATCAATTTTCTCTTTTGTCTACTTATTGAATGAAATTATTTATTTAAACTTCTGCATTGTTTGAACAATGATTAACATTAATAACAACAAATATTGCTATTAAACCATGTCATCAATTGATATTTTTGTTCAGGTTTATTATGCAAAAAAGAAGAGAAGAGCTCAAGGAACCCAAGGCGACGATAGTTCACACAAAAAGGAAAGAAAGCTTTACAATGATGGATATGATGATGAGAATCATGATTACATAATTAAAAACGGGGAGAAATTTTTAGATCGATATGAAATCGACTCACTCATCGGAAAAGGATCATTTGGCCAGGTATACATCCATGAATATATTCTGTAGTACTTTTAGTCACTGTGTATTTCATTAATTAATTTTTAATTAACAATTACACTATTTTCAGGTTGTCAAGGCATTTGATCCTGAGGAATTTTGTCATGTAGCAATTAAGATTATTAAAAATAAGAAACCATTCCTTAATCAGGCTCAGATTGAAGTAACGCTTTTGGAAATGATGAACAAAGCTGATGTCGATAACAAGTATTATATTGGTATGTTTTTTATTTATTTAGTCAACATATCTGTTTTTATAAACTAGTTACTTTTTTTCAATTGCTTGAGTAAAAATTATAGTTTTTATATAAAGAGTGTTAATCTCTAATAATAAAAATTTGATATTCTTTTTAATCAGTCAATTTTCCATAAAATTATATTAAAAGGGGTATTACAATTTATGAAGCTCATGTTTCTACTTGGGCTCATAAACATTTTCTCCCTAGACTTTACACATTTTACTTTACACCCAAACTCCTTATAGTAGTAATATGTTTTTATGGGCTGGCAAACATCAAGTGGTCATTGCTGGCCCTCTGCACTTTAAAGGGATTTTTTTTTGCTTTGCTAACCTCGCGAAGTTACTTCAGGTTGTTAAATTAACAAGAAAACATAAATACATTGCTTTTTCACACTTCCCGCCTTCCCAGAAACATCCCCAGCGACAGGAGCCTCTGCTAAAACACCCGGACAGTGCATAGAGGAATGTCCCAGCACATTGCCCCAGTAAAAAGCCAGTAATGTCCCTGAAAACAGAAACCCAGCAATATGGCCAGAAACGCACATATCCGGCGTTGTGGTACTGGATACTCAGATATCGCCAATATACTTTTATCTCCCATAACAAGACAAGTTTGGTACATTCACTCCTGCAGAGTACTCAATATTACTTTGGGCGGGTTTAAGCCCTACTAATATTGGGTTGTCCGGAAAATAATGCAGGATTTTGGTATTAAACAAAAAAAAAGAAACTAGTTACTTTAAAGCAATGTTCTTTAATCAAAATAATTTCCCATACTCTCAATACATTTCTCCCAACGTGTTGGTAACTTATTAATTCCGTCTGAGTAGAATTCAGAATTTTTAGAATTGATAAAGTCAATAAATGCATTTTCCAGTTCCGTTTGATTTTTGAATATTATGTGTTGTAAGTAGTGGTCCAGGTGTCTAAAAAAATGGTAGTCAGTAGGCGAGAGGTCCGGAGAGTAGGGTGGGTGAGGCAAAGTTTCATAGCCAAGCTCCAATAATTTTTGTGACGTTACACGTGACACATGTGGTCGAGCGTTGTCATGCAACAAAATGGGCCCTTTCCGATTGACCAAAGAGGGCTTCATTACTGCCAATTTCTGATGCATGGTATTAATTTGGTTACAGTATGATTCAGCATTGATGGTTTCGCCAGGATTTAAGAAGCTGTAGTGTATTAAACCAAATGAAGCCCACCATACCGTAACCATTACCTTTTTTTGATGAGTTGGGGGCTTTGGAAAATGTATTGGAGCTTCTCCTTTGTCGAGCCACTGTCCAGAACGTCTAGTGTTATCGTAGAGAATCCACTTTTCGTCACATGTAACAATTCTGGCCAGAAATGGGTCATTTTTGTTTCGACAAAGAAGTGATGCACAAACATCAAAGCGCTGATTTTTTTGGCGATCGTTTAATGAGTGTGGAACCCAATTTTCGAGTTTTTTCACTTTTCCAATCGCCTTGAGGTGGTCAGCGACGGTCGTTTTACTGACTTTGAGTTGCTCTGCACCCACCACTGATCGCAGAACATCATCATTAAGAGAGGAAGGCCTTCCACGACCTTCTTCATCTTCAAGGCTGAAATCTCCCTCCCGAAATTTTTTAAACCACCTTTGCACAGTGCACTCATTAACACAACCCTCGCCCCAGACTTGGTTAATGTTTCTAGCCGTTTGGGCTCCGCTTCGGCCGAGTTTAAACTCGTAAAAGAAAATCGTACGAAATTCTCGCTTTGACATTATAAGGATGACTGAATTATTTCCAAGTAGCGGAATGCTACAGAGGTAAACAAACAATATCATTTGGAAGAGGATTAATAAGTGTTGACATTCATACAAATGAGTAATCCTGTAAACGTAAACAGAATATTTTATATAGATTTTTTTTAATGAAAACTTAAAATCCTGCATTATTTTCCGGACAACCCAATATATAAATTATTTTCACACAGACAGATAAACACATACTATATACATTTAAAAATTTGTTTATCCCTGATTTTGTACATAATAATAGTGTTTATATTTCTGTTTTATTAATCATTTTAATCTCGTTTCTGTTTGTGCAGTGAGACTGAAACGGCATTTTATGTGGAGGAACCATTTATGCCTTGTATTCGAGCTACTCTCCTATAATCTGTACGATCTGCTCAGGAATACCAATTTCCGAGGTGTATCTCTGAACCTTACAAGGAAATTCGCTCAACAGTTGTGTACAGCACTCCTTTTCTTGTCAACGCCCGAGCTCAACATTATCCACTGTGACCTAAAACCGGAAAATATACTTCTGTGCAACCCTAAACGGTCTGCAATTAAAATTGTTGACTTTGGTTCTTCGTGTCAGCTTGGCCAACGAGTATGTTAACATGTTTGTGCATTTTTTAATCAATGCATTAATATCGCCACTTTGTTTTTAGATTTATCAATACATTCAGTCAAGATTCTATAGGTCGCCGGAAGTTTTACTTGGACTGCCTTATGACCTTGCAATTGACATGTGGAGCTTGGGATGTATTCTAGTTGAAATGCACACTGGAGAGCCCTTGTTCAGTGGTGCAAATGAGGTAAATAATGTTAACAAAATAATAAAACTACTACATAATATTATAAAGCATATATTATATGGAGATGCCCAATATTATTTTCTAATACCTTAAATTCACTAATTTCATGGTCCGCTTGACCAATTAATTGTAATATATTAATTGGTCAAGTGGACCACAAAATTAGTGAATTTAATGATTTAAAATGAAGTATACTTCACTAAAGCTCTCCGTGGCCATTTCATTTGTCATCGAGAATCCAATCCGATTACACGACATTTGAAAAATGGCAAAAAGGAGGGAAAAATTCAAAATGTGGGGTTGAGATGGAAAGTTGGTGTCCGAATGGATCGAGGTCACGATAGGTTCGAATCCCGCTTGTGCCATTGACTTTTTTATCTCAACTAAAAACCCTAATTAATTGTAATTATTTTCTGAATTGATATACTTTTTTATTATTATTTACATGTGTTGTCTGTACCATACATAATGTCCATAGTGTTAAACTTCTATAAAAAATAATAATCAAGGAGTAATTAATTAAACTTTGTTGAAACTGAAAGGTTATCTCAATGATCTTGTACGATGGTCGAAATATCTGTCAAAGTTTTTTAGTGTATTTGTTTTAACTCAGCTTAAAATAATTTGATGTATTGATAAGAAATAACTATAAAAAAGGATGTGGCTGCCCTTTAAATAAATAACTGGCATTGGCATTTTACTTGGGCAAGTTGTTGGAATTACCAGAGGCACAAATTTCAGGTCGATCAAATGAACAAAATTGTCGAAGTATTGGGAATGCCTCCAAAGAAGAAACTTGATCATGCCCATAAGACGAGAAAATATTTTGAGAAGGCCCCCAACGGAGATGGGTACGTCCTGAAAAAACCGAAAGACGGAAAGAAGTACCGAAGCCCCGGGTCGAGGCGACTTCACGACATTCTAGGCGTAGAGTCTGGGGGACCCGGCGGAAGAAGGCTAGGCGAACCCGGCCATTCTGTATCCGATTATCTTAAATTCAAGGTACGTGTATTAAGTAATGTTTATATAATGGGTAATAATTATATACGTTTTTAGGACCTGATATACAGAATGCTAGATTTTGACCCTAGAACAAGAGTTACACCTTACTATGCTCTTCAGCACAACTTTTTCAAAAGAACTGCTGATGAAGGTACCAACACTAGCGTGGGTGTCAGTTCAACACCAAGCCCTGCTATTCAACAACAAACTATTGTAGAACCAGGCCCATCAAGTCAACCAGGTGTGTACAAGTTTGAATCATATTATGAAGCATCTTGCATAACATTTCACAGAACATTTTCTAGTGTTTTTTTTTCCCATGTGTGTTATATGGATCAGTTTTCGCTATTTATTGCTAATATAACGTGTATTGTTCTCTTGGCTCGTTTGTTAATAATGTTTTGCATGAAAATAAGGTTTTTTTGTTTATGTAAAATTTATTTCGCTTGATATTAGGAATGTTGTAGGAGGGACTGTTTCTTCAATTTTTTTTATTTTTATATATATATATATATTTTTAAATATTTTACTTATCATAACAAGCAGCTTTTAATATTAACATAAAACGGCCATAAATTAGTGACTAAATAAATTGTACACTCCGAACTGCACATTTAATAAATTTAACAAAATACAAACATTGAGTAGTGTAGTTTGTATAGTCTTCTCCTCTTTTTTTTTTCCTTTGCAGTCAAGTCTTCCGATGATAGAGTAATCTTATTACATGTTAGATTGCTACGATTAAAAATTGAACTTAACTCAAAATATTAATTGCTTCTATAAGTCAAATAAATAAATAATATTTTTTTATTATATTTATCAATTATCTTATCAATTAAAATAAGAAATAAATAGTATTTTTGAAAAAAAAAGTCTTTTAGAGAAATTAAAATACATTGGTAGATAACAGCATTTTGTGAATATATTTAAATAGTAATCCATCAACAGACATCACCACGTTATGATTTAATTTTATTGCTATAAAAATAATTATGCTGAAAATTAGAGCACTTTTAAAGATAGTTAATCATTATTTGATAATTATGTTTACTGTTTTTAGAATTAGTCTTAATAAAAATCCTTTTTTTCCCTTCTTTTTAAAAAAATAAAAGCCAATAATTTCATAATAAAATATTTTTATTTATTCGTTTAATATTTTTATATTGTACTTTGTGTTTTAATGAACTGCACATGAAATAAATTATTACTATCAAAAACAACAATTATTAAAGGAATTGTTATAAAAGTTTTCTGTTTATTTTTAAATACTAACTTGAATTTTTTTTGGGGTGGTCGGTTGTTTAGATGTGCTTCCTGGTTTTGTTCACCGATGACATGCATTCAGCTTGACTCAACAGTCATTCACTAACTAAAATACTAAGTAAGTGCTTTGAATGTTATTTATTTGTTCATGTACTCGCATAATTTTAATCTTATTGCTTGATTTTCAAGTTTTTCACATAGCAAGATATAAAATCGATGACTGAAATGGAAAACTAATTCAATTTAATTCTACTATTGCTATGACTAGAAATATGGTTTTGAAGCGATAGAAGCTTTTAATCTTAAGCTTAAATTTATCCACCACTACTCACTAACCAGTGTATTAAATATATATACACCCGTCCCTCAATTTACACAGTGCTTTTTATACAGGGGAATTCATTTACACAATTTTATTTTATGCTGTCAGATATGTACGTACATATTTTCCTATAAGTTTTAAAATTTACAGTTTTATGCGGTCAGTATTGTCAGATCGGTTGGCATGGAAACTTTTTTTGTGTCATAGGCTAGCATATGGTGTTGTCTTTGGTGGCTGGGCCATAGTGTGGAAGTGAACAGTGACTTTGAATTCCTTGAGAGGAAGACATTGTCCTTTTATATCGACAGACTCAATTTAAATTATTTTTATTCAGATAAATCAAATCCACGTGGAATGGATATTCACGTAAATTGAGGGATGGGTGTATATCCATAATTAAGTACCATAAGTACATTCACTAAATTTTATATAAAAGGCTTCAACTTTTTAAATTTTTTAAACTTCTATTTAAAAAAGTCTAATTTCAAATTTAAGAACTATTATAATTAAAACGGGCATTTATTGTGGATATATTTTTCTCTAAATCATAGTTTGGCTACCAGTTGTTAAATGAAAAAATTGAAAATCATGCAACACTTATCTTTCTGTAGTTAGAAGCTTTTATATCGTAGCAAACATGTTTTTACTTGAAATTCCATAAGCCTCTCTTATAGCATATAGCTTTAAAAAATAAGAACTGCTGTATGCTAAAATAATAAAATGTATATATTTCCTCTGTTGTAACCTGTCCTGTATGTCTTATCTAAATAAATTTAGAATAACAAAAACGTAATACTATTATGTCGTGCATGTTGTATATTAGACTATTTTAAAAATAATAATTGGTTTTGCTAACGTTTGTTAATAAGTTATGATATTAATTGTTTAAATTGAATATGAACACACATACACATACACACAAAAGTTAAAACAACTAATTGCAATTGAAACCAACTTTTGCGAAGGAAGAAACAGTGAAACCAAATCTATTCTGTTCTGCATATATTTTTGCAGCAGTTTAAATTAATTTTATAAAAATTAAATAAAACAGATTAATGAACTTTAATGATAAGATATTTTAATGATAATGAAGACTAAATATTAACACACTTGTGTCTTAATTATGTTATTATTCCTTGAACAACAGAGTATCTACTTAAAAAGTATAAGTTTAATATATAAAACAAATAGCAGAGATATTATCATTTATAATTGTACTTATTATCACATTATTATTTATAATTGCGCTTCTAGACAAAATTTAAAGTATGTAAAGAGCCCTGTCAGTGGCTGCAACCATTTAGCTGTTGATACGATTATCCACGGTTTCTCCCCCCCTAAAAAAAAAATTAGCATCTCGAGCGTTCATACCTCATATATGAAATGCCCTTGTTTAAGTATGTCTTATAAAATAATTTCTCTTATATAGGAGGGCTTTACTTCCAACTACCTGCTGAGTGTCATGGATGAGGGGGTCACATTGCAATACTTCAAAAAATTATTTTCAATTAAAATGCTATAAGCTAAGCTGAATTGGAACCGAAAACTGGTAAAATACAAGTCGGACACCCTAACGACCGCGTGTTTCCCATAGGTCAAATTTATGAATAGTTGAAATAGATTGGCAAGAAACCATATTTTTTAACGTATTGACCATTGGTTGGTTTATGTTTTTAGTGAAACCTCAGGTTTTGGCTGTCACGAATCCGTGTTGTTGTACATTTACATACGCATTTGTGGTAGTATGATATGTCAGAATGCTTCTATCTTTTAACCTAATTTCCCTGATGATTGTTGTTGACAGGGAGAAATAAATAAGGAGAATGTACATAATTTTTAATACCACATACACATAAAGTTAAATATCCACGAAGATAATAGACAGTCCTGATTGTGTAGTCAAGAAAAATTAAATCGCTGTTCATTCCTCATTTAGAAATCACATTAAGAATTATGTATGTAAATTCTTTTTATAAAAAGCCAACTATAAGTTACAAATTAATTGGTTCAAAAAAGCCATTTTTGCTATTTTACTCCATCTACAGCTTTTGCCGCAAACAATTTTTTTTTCCTTCAAAGTTTTGAATTATTTATAATTAGAGATAAATCTGTTACTTAAATGTTTAAAAAACATAAAATGTAACCATAATATTTTCATGCGTTTTGTGGCAACCAACCCGAGTTATGGTGCTGGTAGCTTGGTGAAGAAGTGTGTGGTGCTGTACCAATAATATAGGTCGAGCACCACACTATTTTTCTCTCAGGGAATAATGACCCTTAGAAATAGAATAGGAAACAGGTCTTGTAGACAACGACAAAATAATCAAGCTTGAGTGAAATTTAGAAAGACAAAATAAAAGAAAAAGAGAATTAAGAAAAAGTTAACCCTCATTAGGAATAGGAACTTAATACTTAATAACCTGTTAACTAAATCATAATCTGGCACTGGGGCTTTCCCTGTTGCACTTGACGCTTGGGATCCTGTAGAGCTCCACGGCGATCTCTCCGACTTCCTTCTGGTTTTCTCGGACTCCCTCGAGGTTCTACGAGTCCCATAATTTGGCGAAAACCACTACAAATGAAAGTTGATTTTCTTTGCCAACAGGGTCCTTGCGTTCTCTTCGCTATGCTCTCCTCCGCTTCCTGAACCACCTGAGCGTTTTATTTAGGACCTTCGCCTTCATCTCACCCAGCTTTCTTAAGGGGTCCTCTATCTTGAGCTGGGCACATTGTCCCACCCCCATGAAAAGGAAACATTTTAATTTTAATTTTTTATTTCTGTGACATGTACATATGTTACAATATACTAATTAAAATAAGCTAATTTGCTTTAATATATGCTTGGTTCCATTACTACCTCATACAAAAACAAAAACAATACCGCATTGTTAAAAAAATAAAAAATAATAATTTTGTGTAAAATTTGAAATGAAAATGTTGAGGGGGCTCAGCTTACTTTTAAAAGAAGATTACAAATTAATTTTATTAAACACTAGATTTATGCATTTAATGTAAACGATAGAAAGCATAAAACTATATTTCTGTTTGCTGCGGGCTTGCTTGCAATAAGCATATATTTCTTAAGTACTTCAATCCCTTTACAGATCACTTTCTTCTCTAATTCGATAAAAAATATACTTTTTTACATAGTAAACCTTCATCTATTTATTTTTTTAATAGCCCTGTTTCCCACATTAGCCAGATTGTATTTGACGAGGGGGAAGGGTAGCGTGAAAAAGAGGCCAGGGCAGGGCAGTGGTGGGAATTGAACCCATGACGGCCGAATCAGTCACACTAACCACTCGGCTACCATTGTCCCAGGCATATATTGGCCAACTATCAATGAATTTCTCAAAGTACGGTTTTAATTAATTCACAGATTAAATTAATTTTATCAAAAAATACGAGAAAGTTTTGTAACGTTGAATTGTATTTTTCTCAATCTGCAGTTTTCGAATGAAGTACATTTTTAACACTTGTTTAAATGAACATCTATAAAAAGTAGTTGTCAATTATTTTGTTTGATTTCAATTAATTATACTTTTTTTCTAAGGTCTTGGTTGAAATGAAGAAGTATAATTAATTGAAATAATCAACATGGCCAATTATGACTGCTAAACATACATACATACATTACATACATGGATTTTGCTTTATGTTTCAACTATATTTTGTATGCTGTATTTTATGTGTTATGTCCTTGGAATATATCTAGTTATTAATTTAATTAAATATATGGTATTAATTCAGCATTGGCCCATGTGGCAGGACGTGGATTCTTTTGATCAAACTTATTTTTTTTTAATGTTATTTTATAAGTTAATGAATTTTTTTTTTTCTTTTGAGGAGTAGTGAGGAGTAGAGGTGAAGTACAGGCAATGGAAGTTGAAGTTTCATACCCTCTATCACACACTCAGAACAGCCAGAACAGGTGTGGAGTATTTCCTACTAGGACACAGGCCTACTACCAACCACCAGATCAGCCCCGACAGCAAACGTCCAAAGAGGATTCATCAACTGTATGCATCCAGCAGTCGCCACACCTGTCTATTTATATTAGTTAAATTTCTCTTTTCAAACGAAAAGAGACGACCGTGTTCTTCGGAAAGTGACAGCTGTTTTCTCTTCGACCTGTTTAAGCTTGAAGAACAGCTGTCATGAATACAGGGGCTGGACTTATGCATACGCGAGAGCGAGCGAAACCCCGAAAAGTGCAGTGCGCCAAAGTGATCAACTGTGTGAACATTAAATTTTAGTTGTCTTTTATTTATTTTGGACTGTTTCATAATTTGCTTCTATTACTTTGGTGGACACTTATAAAGTTTGAAAGGAAAGAAATAATTGGCAATCTTTTCTTCGAAATAAAGACATACACGATAAGGTTTAGGAGCCTAGATGCCGTAACCAATGTGTTCATAAATAGGTAACAGGTGTAATCTTTTATATCTATAAATATTTTAAATGAAGGCAAATATGCAGTTGTTTTTTCCCCAGGGAAAAAACACAAATAAATAATATATATACATATATTTATAAATATATATAAATATTTATAAATAATGTATATACATATATATATATAGTAGTTAGGTTGTTAAATTTAAGTAGGATAAAGATTGAAATTCACATTGTTCTGTGAGATTTTGAGGACTGAGGTTGTGACTTACAAATGATGACAAAAAGGAGTCCAAATCCTGTATTTGTTACATCTACTCAGTGTCACTTCCTATGGCAGGAGAGTAGGTGATCATGTTTGACGCAAAATGCATCGTTTATTGAAATATACGCCTGAGAGGTGGAGAGACAAAAAAAAATTTCTTTTTGTTTTTAGTATGTGATATTTGAATTGTTTTGTTCGCTTCTATTCCTACTGATCACCTATTACTCTAGCTCAAGTCCTATAATCGAAACACTCCTTCTTCACCCCCTCCTAATATAATAAAGTGTGGCAGAAATCGCCTCAATTTGTATATAGTTAAAAATAAACATCATAGATATAAATATAAATAAATATTAAAAATGAATGATTTTTAAAAGTAAAAAAAAAAAATTAAAAAAAGGAAAAAAATAACAAAAATATGCCCTCCTTCTAAAAATACCTTCAAAGTTTAGGCCAAATTATAAAGCGTTGTTAAGAGTTTATTAAAATTTTTAGAAAGTGTTGTGTGAGGTGGAAAAAATAATTTCTAAAAGTATAATAAAATTCCTCCTCTTTATTTTCGGCTTCTTTTTTTACAGATGTTACATCTCAAATGGATTTTTTCTTTTTTAAATCAAAGATTTACGATACATAAACTTAAAACGAATATCACGAGTGGTAAATTCAAAATTGTTCTAAATTTTCCAGCAATTTGAAGCGTTGACAATGACATATTTAAATTGTTACCGCCAGATTGTCCAGATATTCTGTAAAACTTAAAGTATGGTCTTGCGATCAGCTTTCCCAAATCCACATTGTCTTTTTCCTTTATATGAGGACGAAATTTAAAGTTACTTTTAGAAACTCTATTTTTTTCATGTTTTAATGCTTATTTATATAAAAGTCTTAATAAACATTTAACACATTATAAAAATACATGATGTATTAACACTTACACATGCCAGTTTTTCACCTTTTTATTGTGAGCTTCTGTCTCATCCGTAGGAAATTTTCTTTTCTGGATGATACAGGATCATTACAATAATTTTTTAAACAATTTGAGTTTTAATATAAATTACAAATATTAGATTTAAACAAATGTGAAAAAGAAAAAAAACATGAATTTTTTTTGTCTTAGCTCAATCTGGCTTATTTCACTCAGTTTAAAAACTAATGGGGACCATACCTGGCCTAAGTAGCATGAACCATACTTTTCTCCTTGTCCTATAATTATCCTTTGGTTGGCTAATATGGAATAATAGAAGAATCACATTGCTCGCTGTACATTTATAAACAAATAAAACAAGTTATATATGATTACTATTAGTTATAGTATTAATCTCTCAGGGCGAAAATGTTTACCTCACTCTACTTTACTATTTAAAAACTGATTAAAACTACACCAAACTGCCATTAGTTGTGATGACGGCGCAAAAGTCAAGTGTGTTTCTTCTTTTATTTGGCCAAGGGATTAAAAAAAAATCTCTTTTTGAAATACGTTAGCTATAGGTTTAAAGAAAATAAATTAGAATAATATTTCGTATACAAAAGGATGAAGGTATTCGATGTTGGTGTTTTTGTAACGGGCTTGTGTTTAATTTTTAAAAAGGAACGTACATAATTATCACGCAAAATATTTTTTTCTCAGCATTGGGCAATAATCCAGTTAATTACAAAAATTCTAAATTTGACTTAAAATGTTGGACGAAGATAATGAATTTGATCAAATAGCAGAAATGTTTAATTTTAGTTTTACTAATATTTGTATTGTAGTATTAAAGGACATATTTATAACCTGTTCTCTTTCAATGTAAAACGTTAATGAACAAATGACAATTCTTTCCATCTTCAAGGAATGCTGATAAATTTGTTTTCTTTTGATACGTATAATGAAAATTTGTTAATTTTACCTCTAACATATGTAGATTTGGCCTATATGCGTTTTTTTAACTTTATCAAATTCTAACCTCTCGCTCTTTCTTAATATTGAACTGTTTTGTTTTATCGGTGAAAAAATGTTGACGAGCAATTACTTAATTTGACAAAAAAAAAAAAAAAAAAATACGAAAACCACAATATCCCATTCCTCCATCCGGGCTAATATAAATTGTATCTATAAACAAAAAAAGAAGTATAAATAATATAGTAAAAGAAATATAAGAGTTATTATTTATAAAAGCAACAAAGACAAGTATGTGTATAAAATTAATTGACACAGTCATTGTAATCTTTGTAGAAATATTTATGTTTATTATTATACAATGAACAAATTCGAATGGCAACGGGAGCATAAAATGTTTCTCTATTACCAGTTTTGTACCCTTCGCGAACGTATCGGGCGAAGTAAGTGTTAAAAAAAAAAGTAAAATAATAGCTAGATTTCTAATTATTTTACGAGGTTACCAACCCGACGGTTTAATTTTATAGTAAACTCACGAAATAGTTTTCCTTTCACTGACACATGAATCCCCCCCAGTAAACACAGCCCTAAATTCCAATTTGAAGGGCATTTAGGCAGTGCACAGCACTCTTGTAAGTGTATACTGCAGAAATAGAAAGAAACGTTTTAATTTTTCTTCTTTTGATTTACTTTTTGATATTGAAATAGAATTAAGTCAGAATGGGATAGAAAAAAGTCTAATGTTAACGATGACGAAAAGTTTGAGAGATAAATTGTTTTTATATATAAAGAAAATAAACCAAGTGTTTTAGGGTTGTAACTACCCCCCTGGAGGGGCGAAGAATTAACATTTAAATAAATGAATAAATAAATATATATATATTAAAGAAATAAATCATGTATACCATAAACTCATTCTGTAGCATAAGTTTACAAGCTTCTATATAAGGTATGTCTTGTTCATGATGTACATACATATTATAGTGGTTATCATAGTTAGAGCGTTGTTGAGTATTTATTATAACAAAAAACAACTCACTCTGCATTGCTTGTGAAATGGCAAAATATAGAGAACTAAAGCAAAATGATAAAAAATAAATAAATCCTGTAATATTCCATTAGACTTTTAACAAAACTGAATCATGGGAAAATACATCGTTAATTTTTATGTAATGAATTTTTTTTTATAATTTTCAATTAAATATGTACTTTTTTAGGCATAAACATTTCTTACAGAAAATTTTTTATTTTATTTTGAGAAAATTTTTTTTTATCCTTTTGCTATGCCATTTCCACAGCAAGCATAAAATGACATGAATAAAATAAGATTTTGTGATTTGTAGACTATTTATATTGGATAATGAGAGTTTGAGCTATCTTATTTAGATTAATACTATTAGTTTAATGACGTTTCCTTATAGAATATATTGACAAAACTAAATTCAAGCCTACAGGGCGTTTTGATTTCATTAAAATGAATAACAATAAATGAACCTTAAAAATATCGAATTTCATTATTTAAAAAAAAAGTAGAACAATTCTGTGAAACTTTGATTCACCTGTAGGCTTGAAATTTGAACATGAATGATCTTAATTTTATGATGCCACAGGCAATCTTTTCACCCTTCTCGCTTTTGTTAAATAAAATATGAAAGTTTGTTGAAAAATGTTTTATTTCTGTTTCATTGTTCATCTATCGTATGACAACATTCCATAACATCCATCCAAATGATAATAATCACTTTCTTTCTCACTACATGCTACCCTGATTATCCTCACGTGATAATTCCTCAATTTAAATCTTTGTCTCTCATTTTTTGTTTTTTTGTCAAATTTATCATATTGGCCATGCATACAACTTCACCAGAAGATGAAGCCGAACCCTGCCACCGAGGGAACCTCAAGCACCCTCCCCCCCTGCAGGACACATGAGCTCAACCTAAATTTAACCCAATCCAGTTTCTTGTGATGGTGGAGCTCTTATTGGAGATGTTGATAAATACCATTTACAATCTTATGGAAAAGTACACATCCCCCAGGGATCGAGCCCAGGAGCTTGTTTCCCACCCAAAGACACCTGGTGGTCTGGTGCACAGCACTCCCAACTGCCCAGCATAAATCAGTCGTCAGAAATTTACTTTCTATGTTATAACTATTAGAGAGAAAAAACAAAAAAGGCAATGCTCATATGTTTGTATATAAATGCAAAACTATCGAACCAGATTCACCAAAAATTTCAGTTTGTTCAAAATAAGGGACGTCAGGATTGAAAAATACACATGCCTGGAATTTGTAGCACCCACATTTTGCGTTGTTTTTGTAGACAGCAACCTCTTCTAGCATGATACATGTATCCCATGTCTTTCAATCTCCAATTTGGAGGCACCAGCTCTTAATAGAGGCAAAAACTAAGTTAACAGTATATGCCAAAACTACTGAATCATTTCGTTGATGCATATGTAGATGTAATATTTCAGGGTATGGTATACTGCGTCCTTTGAGAGCTATTGTATCCCCCGTTCTCTGCCTAAAGCACATCGGTGAGTCCTATTTCATCAAGAAACTTCATTAATAGGCCCGATTTTAATGATTGAAGCTCTTCTATGGTCACAGTGTACATCCCAAAACATTTCCTCCTGCGGGCTAACGTAGCTCCGCAGTTTGTTAGTAAGTGTGTTGGTGTCTCTTCTGCTTCCTTGCAGAATCTACATGTGCCATCTTGGATTGTTCCAATTTTCTTTAGGTGTCCTGTTAGGATTCGCAGTCTGTTCCTGCTTCCTTTGACACATTCTATGATTTTCCTACCAAAATTGGTTAGAAGATTCTTGGATTGTCTATGTCCAATAAGTGAATTCCATGATGCATATGCGTACTTCACTATTGTCAAAATCTTTAATAGAGGTAACGTGATACTGGATTATGGGCCTGTGGCCTCATTGTCTGAGACCCTAGGGATAAAAGATGTGGCCACACAACCAGACCTAATTGTGCTCATCTATTTCTATAATTAACTGACCACCTTCTCTTTAGTGTAGGATCTCACTTGCTTTGTTTACTCTCCTAGATACAAGAATCTGCACCTACATAGATCCTTACAAAAACAAGGTGTTTTGTGGTCTCTCTTCTTCCTGGCACTGTCTGCACAGTGTTTCTTCTGTCTGTACTCCTATCCAGTGCATGTGCCTTTTAGGTGGCAGTGCCATCAGGAGTCCAACCATAATTCTGGTTCTGTTGTGGTTACCTTCACGTAATTCCTTTATAAGTCGCGGATGGCCCTTCTATAAATCTCTTCGCGTCCCTCTTGTCTGGAGTATTGTTCCACTTAGGACTCATTAAGGATCCATTTTTGGATGTCCTATTTTGTGGTGTGGTGTTACGCCACAATAGGGTTTGCAATCTCGAGAATTCATATCGGTTCCTTTTTTGGGCATGTCCACTGGTAAGAAGCCTTTATGTCTTGAATGCCCAGGGACCCATTAAGAGCTCATAACTAAAACTTTCAACATATCACACAACTGAAGATGGCGAAATGCCAAAAATGTGTCTCACTCAACAAGATCAGCGAAGATAGGCAGACTAGAATGATAGGTAACTATCAAACAATAGGTTTATCATCCTGCAAGATCACAGGAAGAAAAATCACGATGTAGAGTATTAACTAAAATTTAATGTTAGTTTGGTCTTTGGGCTATCCCAAGGCCTCCAGCTCCCTTTGGAGTCCCTAAGCTTAATCATGGGAATTGAAAAAAGTGTTCTGAACATATTATCCTCCCAGGCAGCGTCAGGTAACACAACTAGTTCTTTTTATTAAGTAAATTAATTTCTGTCATACAGGAGGACTTAACATCCAACTTGATCAATATTTTTCATACAATACATTAAAAAACCATGGCCTCTGCTGGGATCATACCCAGAACTGCTACTGTGGAAATACGAGTCTGACACCCTAATCACTTGGTGTCATTCTGTTTATAATGTATGTGGCCTTGTTGAAAACTTTTACCCTGATGTTACTTCACATTGTTTTAGTGTACTTTTTGGGTGAGTTTAAACAAATACAGCACTTGCGAGCGAAGGTAAATTCAGTGTCTTTAATCTTGCCCTAGATTAAGGTTTCTGTAAAATGAAAATATGAGAACATTTGATTCAAAATAATAGTACTTGTAATTTAAACCATCAAATGTAGTTGTTGGTAAGTACAAAGAAATATAAATGAAATGTTGAAATAATTCTAGTTAGAAGTGCACATCAGAATAAAAATAAGTCAGTGAAATATGAGTAAATGGGCAAAACATAAATATAAGTTTATTATAAATGCTATAATTACTAGATTCAACTTTTACTCAAGGCTAATGAATAAATGATCAGGCAAGTTACATCTTAGAGGGTAGCTGCTTTGAGTTCCCTTCTTTAAGACTGACTCTGATGCGATGAACGCACATCGTTTTATTTTCTCTTCTGTAGACAACGATGGGAAGTTAGCAGTGTAAAATCCATAGGCACCGACAAAGCAATCTCCAGCTCCCTAAAATAATTATATAGTGAATTTACATCTATATATCACTGAAGTACTCTTATAATTACAGTCGTATCAACAGGTGTCACTAACTTTGTAGGTACGTGTTGTATATTGGAGGGAGAATCACCAAAAATTACTCCCTGAGCTCCCATGGTGAGAATCGCCATTTTACAACCAAGTTCAAGAAGTTTTTCCACTGCTGCTTTACCAGTGGCGATGTCTAAGATCTCCACCTTTACTATGGCGGAAGCCTTTAAAGTTACAACTTTAGAATAATTTAAAGGAGTAAAATGATTATTTACATTAAACTAAGATACCTCGGTTTCATTTACACAAAACACATCACACAATTTTAATACTGTTAAGTCAAAATTTGAAATTGCAGGTGCTCCATTGACAAATGTAACAGGACCTCCTAAAAAAAGGTTCTTCTTAAGCCTTAATTAATAGATAGTACAATTAATATATTTCTATACAATGACCATTTTTTCTAATGAATTCCAAAGTTTTAATTGTTGTTTCCAATGGGGTTTCAAGCTGAAATAACACAATCTTTGAATTTAAAAGTACATTTTCCGCTTTCTTCACATCCTCAAAACATAGTTTATTATTAGAGCCAGCAACTATCACAATGCAATTATCACCTGAAAATTAAGGATGATTTAACAAATAAAAAAATCTATCAGGTAATAATTTTAACTACCATTCTCGGTAACTGTGATTTGGGCCATTCCGCTCATATGATTCTCAGTTATGGTGGAGAATTCAGTATTGATGTTTTGATTTTTCAGCTCTTTGATGTATTTCTTTCCAAAATCATCGTCTCCTACCTTTGTTTTTTTACTCAAAATTAACAATTTTTTCATTATTTAATAACAGGTTGTGATGTACCCTTGCAATTAGTGCTGTAGAAGCTCCTAATCTGGCCGCAGCTACACACTGATTTGCTCCTTTGCCTCCGTGTCCAACCTCAAAATTATTCCCATGGATGGTTTCACCGATTTTTGGTATCCTTGGAGTGTAGCTGTAAAAATTATTCAATTTAACTTTGCATATAAGCGCTGAATGTAATATACATAAACATTTAATAATGTTTATCACATTGTGCATTCCAATATGTGTGTATATCAGGGTGAGTCTTTCTCAAGCCTCAGAAACTTGTTCAGCACAACCTGCAGCCTGGCGACATTAGTCCTGCATGAAGGGCACTCATACAGAAGCATCGGCCTGATACCTTTTATGTACTGAAAGTTTATTGGCAGGCGACAGAGCAATAACATAGGGAATAAAAGTGAGTTTACAGTTCAATAACATACCAAGAAGACTGACTCAGATTACAAGTTACACCTTCGATTTGGATCTTTTCATACAATGGTCTACAGTTGCTGAAAATTATTGTCTCCATTTTATTATGATTCATTTTCATTTTCCAACAGTTGGAGAATTTCCTTATCCAGAGCAGTTGTCTCACCTATTTGATATTGTATCTATCCTCCAAGTGGAAGAATAGAGAGTGATATTGTCAACGTAAAAAACCTTTTTTATCTTAGGGTATTTTGTTGAAGTATACAAAGAATAGGATGGATGCAAAGGTAGAGCCTTGAAGAACACCAGCAACATTGTTCCCTCAGTCGGTAAAGCGATGATCAAAAGGGATAAGAGATAGATTTTTTTTCATTATGTAGGGATGGAAGAGGCTATTCCATGATCGTGCTGACTATAGCATCATGCCAGTGTCAAAGGCCTTTTGGATATAAATACAAACAGTGCTAGTATGCTTTGACTAATGTTATGTCTATTATTCTGGCTAATTGGGTAGTGGTAGGTAGTCCTGGCCTGAAACTAAACTGCTACAGCATAATGTTTACATACAAGAAGGCAGCTAAGCGAGTGAGCAAAGTAGGCTGGTAGGTCTGTTTGAATTAGATGGAGACTGAGACTTGCCCAGTACCAAAATGAGGATAGTTTTAGAGGTAAGAATAACAAAAAAAAAGCAAAGGCTAGAGTCTAAATTTCACTATCAAATCACTATTTTACGATGGAATATTATTTTTATTATTAATAAGTGTTTAAAATAAGAAAATTAGATTTGTGTTTAAATTTGAATGTACTTCGATGATGTCACAGGCTTCAGATGATGGCATATGCCTCCCATTTACATACATTCAAGGTCACTGCAGTCAGATTGTGTAAGATTTTTGGTTTGTTTTAGGTACATGTCTTAGGGACATAAATTTTGTATGAAACGAGAAAAATATTTAGAAATTAGTCGGGTTTATAAAATAATTATTAAATTTTACTTACCACACGAAATCTATCATGCACGATCCGACGACGACAACGTCGAAATTGTGTTGACCCATAATCGAAAAGATAACTTACGAGCTAACCAGTATTGACAGACAATGGAAACTTGACAAAATAAATCATTAACAAAGTATGAAAAATGAACTAAGTTGACTATACTTTGTTATTCCAATGATTATTCTTTACCTGTGATGATGCTTGCCCTTGAGGAGTCATCTAAGTCGAAACCTGAGATAACGTTTAATCATTTTTTCCACCGATAAGGATAAACCTCCACTTGATAATACAAAAATCGACTATTAAACATTTACTTCTAAATCTGCTCATTTTTAATTAATAAAACGATATTTATATAGAAAAAGTATACACAATTATTAGTTAATTATATTGCTGAGCTACCTGAAAACTACCACAGCCAGAAAATATATGTGACTCAAAAGACTGGCAGTAAAAAATGAAATTATCTCGACCGATGTAATTAATATTACCCTTCAATGTAATTTTGTAATAAATGTTACGGATAAGGAAATTTTAATGAGTAGAAAACACTCAGTTCCTTCGTCAAGCTTTCGCTGAATCTATCCGCTTTATAAGGACTGAATTATTTTTAACATTGGAAATTATTAATAATACTATAGTTGCAAAGTGTGCCAAGGATCGACGGGAGTATCTCAGGGCAGCGTACTTGGACCTCCTCTACTCTACAGATATCCCAACTTCACCCTTAACCATCCTTGCATCCTTGATCAATTGCTTCGGACGAGCTTCAGGCACATGTATTGAAAATAGCAGAATGGAGAAAACACTGATATATAAAGCTCAATAAAAGCAAAAGCACCTGTGTCTCATTTACCCTTCAAAGCAAAACCTCTCATAAAATAGTCTTCAATAATACTCCCATTCGAAAAATAGAAATTCACACTTAGAAGAAGTATCTGCTAACCAGTGCCGATTACACAATAAGGTAATCCCTTTATCCAACCAAATCTGCCACTTTGGATTCCATCTAGAGTCAAAGCTAACCTTGAACCAACACCCGACTAAAACGACAGGCACTAAACCAATGTTTTAGACTACTGTAGCGCAATTCTAACGTTTAATGAAAAAAAATTGACAATCTAAAAGATATACTAAAACCAATCTGACGGACTAGAACTTTGGGGCACTACTAAACCTTCCAATTCAAAGTCATCAGAAGCTCTTTCACTACGTCCCTTCATAATAACGATGAATGATGAATATAATTCCCAAAACATTTTCCACCTTTCACAACGGTATCTCATCCCAATTGAGTTGTATGTGCATTATAGGTAATCATAAATAAGAGATGTATATATATTTGTAATCATGTTTTAGCTATTATTATATAATAATGTTCTATTATTACAATACTGAAATTTTTGAAGAAAGTATGTATTCCTTTTGTAAATACTAATTATAATTACTTGTAAATACATACTAAGAAAAGAGATTTTAGTTATATAAGTTTATGTGCTAGACTCCCTCAGACGGTTTTAAATCACGAGTAACGTCTTTCTTGCTCTGTATTATATACTGCCGATTTGTAAACTTTGTATATATATTAAAGAATAAAGACATATAGTAGCAGTAATTATCCAATTATTTTTCTCGTGACGTAAAATTTTATAATCGATGTCTGGAGGGCGGCCGACTCTCAATCGAGTCTCGACTCTCGAGACCTGTGAACGTGAAAGGCTGATGCCTGAACGATGGTGTTGGAGTGGAACTGTGGAAGTTTTTTTAAATAAATATTTGATTAGTGGAGGGATGTAAATTGTTGTCGGTGTTGTCATATTAAAATAAAGTCCCCGTGACTGCCAAGTACTATGACATATGTCAAAATACCTTTGGAACATTTTTGAAGTATCTGCCTGATTGGTAAGTGAAGATGGATAAGGTTAACACGAAAACGCATGAATCCGGTGTTATGTTTTTGAACGGGGACTCGGTGATTTTCGAAAACGGGCCGAATTACGGCAACGATATTATCCAACAAGCTCTGAACAACATCAGCCCAATTTCTGAGAAAAGCTATTTGACAGATTTCATCGAAAACGATGGTCTCTTCCTTAAAAAGTCTAAAAGCTCCTGTCCCGAGGAGACGTCGAATCTGATCAATTTGAGTTTTCAAGAAGGTTCGGATCTCGGCATGGGTCTGACTCTGGAAGATCATAAAATTAGCCAAGCCGATTCTCCAAATCAGACGTTCAACGCCCAAGATGGAGATTTCAACAATCTTTTCGTGTCGCCCGTAACCGGCAAAGATCACAAGTTCACCTGCATACCGAACATCATCGACGGCAAGCTCACATACCAGATTCAAATACCGGAACTGACTCCACCGACGGTGAAACAATCCGAACCCACTGCTCCGGTTCTCACGTTGTTCACTTCTACTGACAATCCGGAAGGGTATCGGTTGACCAATCAGGAAGCCGGCAATCTTCAGAAAGGAGCCAACGGTTCAATACTCAAGCTCGCAAAAAACACTCCTAAATTTAAACTCGCCGATAATCAAAAGGTTGTCCTTGTCTCGCCGCAAAATCCTGTCCAAATTGCACAAAAGAAACAGGCCAAGCCGATTTTTACGACTATCGCTTCTAATAATGATTCTTTGCTCAGCACTATAAATGCGCCGATAAGTCTTTTGAATGCGACCTCGTCTAACAAGAATGGCATATTTGTCATCAAGCAAACTCCCAATACGGTACCTAACATAGCGCAAGGTTTCAAAATTGGCAATAACGTGTTAAAGAATATCGTTGTAAACAGTCCAAAAAATATCACACTCGGAACGACAAACAACACTGTACAAAATGGCATAATCTTGAGCAATGGAAACGTCATCAATAATGGTATCATATTAAAGAACAGATGTGCTGTCGTAAGTTCTGACAAGAATATTGGCAATAAAAATGGACAATCGTCGAGTGATAATACAGACATCCTACTAGCTAAGAGTGATAAACCGTTGATTAAGAATCAGTCTTTCATCATTAAAGACGCAGGGTTATTGAACAGCATGGCCTTGAATACAGGGAAACCAAACTGTGATAATGGTATTATATTGAAATGTAATAGTAAACAAATTAATTTAGGGCTGACCCCGCAGAAGATAAAAGTAGTGAATAGTAATGGTATTACAAAGTTGGCTCAGATTGTACCAAATACGGCTAATAATAAAAAGAAATCTCCAGTTAAACCTATCACTCCATCTGTCGATAAACAAACAAAAACTACAGGGTCTGTAGATAAAAGTTCACCTAAAAAACCATCAACAAAACCGTTGTTTGTCATGACGACTAAAAAACAGGAGTCAGTGTAAGTTTTATATATTAAAAGAAATGTAACTATTTATATGTCATGTTTTAAATTTTGTAGTTTAATACAACCTCAGAGCACACAACATGAAAATCAGAACACCAATCCTAATACAGAGAGTCCATCATCACTGGCTGCACTGGCTGAAAAAATTGTTCCTATTACAAAGAATCCTATAGGAAAGTATGTATATGTCATTAGCAGGAGATATGGAAATTAGAAGCTAAATTAATAAAAATCTTTTAATATTTTTTAGGCTCACGGATTCTCAGTTAAAGAGAATTGCTGCAGTACTAGGACAGAATAAATCTTCATCTTCTGCACTTGTTGATAACGGAGACAATTCAAAAATATTGTGCAGGTTAGAAACCTTTAATGTTTTACATGAGCATATTCTCCTCCTCACAACTGTAATGTGACATAAGTTTATTATTTTAGAATACTTTATCCAGAGGATTTCAAACCTGGATCGGAGAAGAAAGTTATGCTAAAATCAAAGAAGAAATTTTTGGCTAAAAAGAAACGATCTAACACAGAAAAAGTGACTGATGATAAAAATGAACAATCATCCCCAGAAATTGTCAAAACTAGAAGAACTAGGTAATCAAAGGAAATAGTGAAATTAAAAATAGTGAAATTATTCCTTCCTTCAATGTTCAAAATCCTCGAAAGACTCATTTTAAAGCTCTTAATACCGATACCTAGATACTCATAAAATCATTCTTTCTCACCAATTCGGCTTCTGACCTAATCATTCCACGATCCAACAAGGTTTCAGAGTTGTTGTAACTATCTCCCCTCCTATAGAGGATAAAAAGTATTGTTTGGGTGTGTTCTAGATGTATCGTAAATTTTGGGTAGGGTCTGGCACCAAGCATGCTTTACAAACTTAAATGCTTCCTATGCTCCTTATTTCCTTGAAATTCTATCTAACAGAACACTGCTTAAGAGTGAAGTGCAGCAACGAGTTTTCAGTCAGACAGATAAAGCCGGCGGCCCACAAGGGAGCATTCTTGGCCCCATCTTTTTATCATTTATACTCCTGACCTACCACCTAATACCGCAATTTTGTTCTCTAATGTGTGTTTCTTAGTGACCTGTTGTTTCATAATTTGTTGAAGTCGTGAAGAGCAGTCAAGAATGAAGTAGTACAGAAAAACACCTTTTACGTTTTTTTGCCGATGCCGATGTTTATTTCAGGGCCTGGGTAAATTAGAAAACATGTTGATTGGAAAAATACAATTTAAGATGTAAATATAAATTTTGAACCAAGTATTTCACTTACATATGCTATTCTTAGGTGACATATTGGTGTTGTGTGAAAGTGTTGGAAAAAGTGAATTTGTATTCTGCTGTTTTTATTATTTTTTATAATAATAAAAACGTGTAAATCTTGGAAAATTTCTTTGACCACAGAAGGTTTTATTTAACTCAAAGGAAGTCGAGAATGGGGATTTTCTGGATTGGATTTGTGATTCGGCATTCAATATTGAAAAGGAAGTTAATTATTAAAGATAAATCTTTAACAATTAAGATGATAACAAAGGAAAGTGAAAAATGAAATTAAGATTAATTAAGGTTTTCAGTTGAGATAAAAAAGTCAATGGCATGAGTGGGATTCAAACCCACGATCTTCGGCTTGATACGCCGCTGCTCTACTACTTGAGCTATCGTGACCTCGATCCACTCGGACATCAACTTCCCATCTCAACCACACCTTTTGAATTTTCCCTCATTTTTGCCATTTTTCAATTTCCTTCTTCCATTTCTTTTTTTTAATCTCAACTGAAAACCTTAATTAATAGTAATATATTAATTGGTCAAGCGGACCACGAAACTAGTGAAATGAAATTAAGGTTTAATAGTTCGTGCTTTATGATATTGGTGTAGCTACAGCTGAGTTTGCACGTATCTTTTCTGTAATTAATGCTGTGTGTGCCACTGTTAATGTAAACAATTTCTAGAAAGTTACATTTGTATTTGTTTTTCTCCGTGTTTAGTATTTGTATTTTGTCGAAATCAAAGTTGTGTTGCTTTTCAAAGTGGTGTCTGGTGGGATTGGTTTTTGCAGTCATAGATGTGTTGTTTTTTCTGTTTTTCTAGATATTGTGATGTAATTCCAATGTATGTTGCTGGCCGGTTCGTACAATTAATTTCATAAATTTCATTGGATTTGTAGGCTGTTGGTGTTAGGTCTTTGACTTAGGAAAAAACTGTGTACTGCTTTATGGTATTAAAAACCTATTTTATGTGTTCTGAGGAGAAAAATTTACTCAATTTGTGGATGAACGGAATGGATATGTATATTGGTTTGTCTTTGTATGATTGTGTTGATGATGTGTGGTGTACTGTTGAGGATGTTTTATGTAGTGCTGGGCTGTAATTGTTTATTATTCGCTGATTATGTTTTTAGGGTAGTTATTGTTATGTAAGATTTGTTTGTAGTTTGAATATTTTTTAGGTGAAAGGATTTATGACTTTGAAAAAATATTGAAACATACAAACAAATCTTACACGCTCCTCATGACTTCAACAAATTTTGTTCTCTGACTCAAATCTAATGCAAACTATCTCCAACATCCAAGAACACTTCAGCTTATCGAAGTCTGATACAAAAACAGAAAAATGTATTTAGTTCACATTGGAAAAAAATGCAGTCTTTCCCTCCACTGTTCATCAACAACAAAGAGATACCATTAATGTTCAAGTCAAATATTGTAGACTCTAATACTATACTACTCTAATACTGTAATATACCTAGACAGTACGCTGATGTGGAAAACCCGTACAAAACAACAGACAAATTAACAAATTCGTTATGGCCATTGTTCTGTAACAATGCGCTAAACCCTCCCCATATCGTTCCAGAACGATACACATCTTCTAGCAAACCTCCATTTCAAAGCTTCTTGTAAGGTGTTGGGGGTATTTTTGAATCCAATTGGTACCACTGACCTTCAGAATTGCTTTGGCTATGTTTCGATTTGACCTTTTTGGAATTAAAAAAAAATGATTTTTTGAAAAAACAAATTTAATAAAAACTTTTGACGTACCTGGGAGGCTCTTCTCAGAGCTGTAACAAACGTGCTAGCATAAGATGTACAATTACGAAGGCTTCTAGGACTGTCAAAACTAAACTATCCATATACAAAAATCATAAATTTATTTGAATAATTTGGTTAAATTGGACCAACTAAAAAACAAATGGACTTATACAAGACTTTTCTGTAACCACTTTGGATATAGAGTGGTAATGTAGGGCTCTGTCAAGCCATCCGACATCCAATCGTTTCAATCAAAACCTCAGACAAATCGTCAACGCTCATTACTACATCAATAATCCACTACCCACAATGACCTGAACATTCCTTTTGATCCAGTCTCTGATTGTAAAAGTTTCACACCAACCTCTAGATCCATCCTAACTCGCCTTAATTGACAATGGCATTGAGACCATCTTGTCTTTTAATTCCTCACACTGAATGCCAGCATTAGTTGGTTTGTCCTCCGGTGCAATGCAAAAGATATCTATTTGTATAGCAATTCATTTTTATACCTTGTATTTAATTACTACATCAATTTCCTGTTTTGAATTATGAATGACAAATGTTGATTATTTTTGTCTTGTAGATCTGGGCGATTAGCGAGGCCGCCTGTTCATATAACAAAGCTTTACAGAAAATCAAATGGTAATAGTTGCCAACCAGAAGAGAATGACGAGAACACACCTGCTCCCATTCTTCTTCCTGGTAATAAATTTTATATATATTAGTATTCTTTCGAAGAGCTAAGTTGTTATTGATTAAATATTCTTTCCAGGTCTACCGAGCGAGAAGCGACAAGTCACCATTTCTCAACATTTCCGATGTAGAACATGTAATAAATTGTATTTGAACAGGGCCAATAGAGCAAATCACTTGAAAAAGTATCCGGACCACTTTCTTGACTGTGATATCATTTGTAAGTATAATGTTGCTTATGGTGATTTCACTCGATTAACGTTTCTTTTGTCGGCTTTATAGCGACAAACTCGACAGCAAAGAAAAACGCTTCACAGAAAAGGTCGCCTTTGCATTTAAAACAGGTGATTTACTGTTAATGTTTACCTTTACTAATTTCTTTTGGTGTTTTTAATTGGATCGTTTTTGATTTAGTTGATTGAAAAGTATAACGAGAAAGAAATTGTTGGCGCAACTGGAAGTATAGTCGCTAAAAATATAAGTCTTTGGGATTTTATCTTACTCCGTCTGGAAAACACGGAAAACAACGGGAAAAGCAAAGTGGCTTATCTCTTGGAAGAATTGGAAAAAGTAGTTCAAGAAGTGAGGACAGTCTCTCATAAAATTCTGAATCATTCTGATGCAAGCGAACTTGTAGAAACAGTCCAAGTGAGTTCAACAATTTTTCTAAAATTTATTTAAAAAAAAAAAATGAATGACCTTTGAACTTTGCATATTAACCAAGGAATGGGTTTGATCATATGCAATGTGTAATTTTTTTTGGGGGGGAGTGGAAGGGTAGCATGAAAAAAAGGCCAGGTTCGATGGTGTGAATCGAACCCACAATCACAGGGTAAACCCACCAGCTACTGTGGTCTCCCAACAAAGTTCTGGAGAAATTAAATAATTTCAAATAGTATATTTTTTATATGTAGATGAGCCAAGCATCAACAAGGCATCAGTTCATTTTGTAAATGAATAGTCAACCTTTTTGGGACTAATTTTTCAGAAATTGTGAGATGCAGTCTGGTGTGATGTAGGTTTCAGAAAAACATTTTATCGTGCCAACGTTTCGATGTTTATTGAGATCGTCTTCAGGGCCTGGGATTTACAAACATTGTTTACATTTAACAAATACATGTAGACTGTGGAAAAAAGTGAATTTATACAATGCAAAATATATTTTTTATATTCAATCAAAAGGAGGAAACGATAATCTGGCCGAACCATTACCGTTTTTTCCCCCTTTGTCGGCTCTTTTCACCTCAAAGAAGCCGATGCCTTATACAAAAATGTCTTTTATACCGACTTCCTTCCCCACCCCTTCAAAATCCAACATATATAAACATAAAACAGTAAAATCCCACTGGCACTCTCAACACGACACGCAAGAATGGCACAATTACACAAAAGACAAACACTTTGAGTGAGTAGAAATACTTTGAATATAAAAAATATAAAAGCATTGAATAAATTCACTTTTTTCAACATTCTACATGTTTTTGTTAAATGCAAACAATGTTTGTAAATCCCAGGCCCTGAAGATGATCTCAATAAAGATCGAAATGTTAGCACGATAAAGAAAATGATTTTCTGAAACCTACATCACACCAGACCGCATCTCACGATTTCTGAATAATTACTGATTAACGGTCACTACCACACACTTTTTACGACTTGTGATGAGTTACATCATTCAGGCTTAGACGTTCCCCAGGCCTTGTTATGAGTTATATCGCTCTCTCTCTTTCTCTCTTTTTTTCAGTATTATATGGACATCTCCCACACCTTTTCCCATTTCATAATCAACGAACGACTCTTCAACCCCTTCTGTTCAAAATTCTCATCAGGAACTAGGCACCAAGTGAAGCACCTACAAAGTAGCCTTAGCCTATATGATTTTCCAAAGTGATCAGTGCTGAGAACACATTGACAAAACAACTAGAGAAAAATAAAAGAAACTGAGCTGCAGTAATCAACATAAATTTAGAGGAAAACTACAAGAAAAAAGTTTGAATTATAAAGAGGAGTGGTTCCATTGCAGTTTATAGAATGCTCTTCCTGTTTCCAAAAATATTTTGTATATCAAAAGGAACAGAATTTTTTTGATTTACCAAATATGACCAGCTGAGGAGTTTCAAGTTGGAAGTAGTTAAGTCAAAGTTTCGAATTAACAAGAGCTGAAGTTACATCACTGGTTCAGGTGTTGACACAGTGCTCATCACTGAAAGATAAAGGTCCTGGGTTTGAGCTCGATATACAAATGGGCTTTTTTCAAAAACCATCACCCTGAGGGTTGTGTAATCTCTACTGTTGCGAATCCCCATTATACATTTATTTTATACATATATATTATTTTCAACTGTTTTCATGTGTATGTATATGCATACATGCACAGAGTTGAGCTAAATAAATTAGTAATAAGTATTTCTTTTGTTTTTTGTAAATACATAAAGAGTACTTTTGTGAAAATTAAATTGTCAAATAAATACAACTTTGCTGTTTTTCTCCTGTCGTTTATTTAATTCCGATGAAAATTATATCTGAGGAATGTACTGTCAAATTTTGAACGGAAGTTCACATAAAAAGTGGTAAGGGCGATTCGTTTCCATGTTTTAGCATGAACATACTTTAGCCATGACCTAACTGCCTGAAAATGTCACAAAAGGGTGTCACCAAAAACTGCCCCCCCTTGATCATTGCTGGAATGACAAATGGACGATCCTGTATGTTCCACAGCATCCAAACGTTGGGGGACCGCGGTAGCCGAGTGGTTAGCATGAGAGACTCTCACACCGCGGTCGTGGGTTCGATTCCCACCGTCGCCTTTGGCCCTTTTTTCCCGATAACCCCCAATTTGAACATATATACAAGAATTCGTCATGGCTAATATGGAAAGATCATAAGGCCAATAAAAAAAAAAAATTAAAAAAAAAAAAAAATGATGCTCCTTTGCATTTTTCAGACATTTAGTGTTACATGAACTTTTCTTGATCAATGTTGTTGTTTGTTACATTGTGTTTATTATATGAGGAAATGTTAACAATAATTTTTGTATTTGGAAAACCAGCATTCAGAAAATCATGAATCAAAAATTCAGTAGCCTTATATTTCTATAATTTTATCCATAGGCTCTAAGTAGCCAGCATCTGGGGGCACAGGGTGGGAGGGTTTGAGGGCCCTTCTTTTGAGGAGCAAAGCGCCAAGTTTTTTTTTTACTTTTAATTTTTATCTCAATACAACATTTAAATAAATAAAAATGTACCTTCATATTTTGGTTTACTGAATGTAAGATGGCTGTTACCTTTTAGGTCAAGGATGATTTGATGGGGTTGATGTTGGGGCTTAAACCAGGCTTTTACGTTCCCAACGATGAAGGATTAACAACGACACAACCGGAAAAAAGGCCATATCCCGATTCTGAGAATGAAGAGAAATTAAACCATAAAAGAATGAAACCGGATATTTTGATGACTGAAGATATCAATAGTGATCCCGTTAAAGACTTATCAGATCCTGCTCTTCTCCAAGACATTTACATAAACCAATCTGACTTGGAGAGTGTCGACCAAATTGTCAAAGAACGACTCCAGTCTTTGGCCCCGGGCGAGGACATAATAGTGCCTGGATTGGGTACCGACGACGACATTATGGAAGGTTTGTTAAAATCTGTCGAACCGCTTTCAGATTCAATCTTGTTCCCGACCCCGGTGTCAGAGGCGACTGAAGATTTGTACAAGACTCTCGAAAATTTAGCCGATGAAATACAACCGACCACACAATTAGATTTTACCGATCTAAGCAATGAATTCAATAACTCAGGAACAATAATGAAACTATAGCAGCTATTTAAGACTCTTTTAAATAAGGTAAATGTATAATTTTAAACAATTTAAATAGTTACTTCTATTTGTTATACCATTCACAAATTGACAGTTTCATATTTATTGACTGAAACCTAATTTTTTTCAAAAAGACCATTTAAATTAGTTTGAAACGTAAATTTCACACTAATCTAAATTTGATTAAGTGATAAGAAAGAGAAATTTAGAACTTCCATTTTTTTGCAAATTCATTTTGCTAATAACTGTGATATATGTAGAATTTAAGTAAAAGTTAAAGCGACACACTCCTCTATATATATTTATAGAGTCGTTTTAACTTCTTAAAATTATTTCATAACTAGATAATGGAGATTTATGAACAAACACCAACGGGTTATTTGATATAACGTAGAAAACTTTGGTACAAAGAGAAGGATCAGAACATAGCTGTTATGGTTAATAACGGAACCGTTTTTATCCATATTACTCCATCCTTAACGTAGTTATGAACATTATTAATTATACTATCGCAATTATATAGTGAGATAATAAAAAAAGTCCCTTTATTTGACAAGTGGGTTGACATAAGATTTTTTAATATCTTTTAATGTTGCCGTTTAAACTTGTGAAGTGGTAAAAAAATGACTATACAAACTGTTTTAATACAAATTGTACAGATCGTCTTTTTTAAAAATAAATGTTAACAGTAATGTTAAATACAGTATTATGATTATTGCTCCAACTTTAATTTTAGAATTTATTCACAAGTTAGAAAAAAACAAAACAGCAAGAATACTATCTTAAAGACTAAAAAAACTACTATTGCTCATATTGTATTTATTTAAGTGAAATTCTTTTTGTTTTTTATTCATTCCAATGATAATACCAAAGTAATTATTGAGAAAGTGCGGTTTATTTAATCTGTTTTTGTGTACCTGAAATTCAGAACATATTTTAATTCTGTTCTATTTAAACTTTGTCTTATATTGTTTGCTGATACCAAAGTTTCTGATTTATATTTAGAATTGAAATTCAGGTTTGTTTTATTTTAAAATGTATAATATTTGTATTATATATGTTATACAATGCCTACAGAAAAAAACGTTTTTAATTAATAATTTTTTTTTTAAATTTGTAAATTTTAAATAGAATATTCTTATTTTTCAACATATCGAATTGTATGTAATTTACTTGAGTATGCAGTCATGATGTTTTCGGTGGCCTGATGATTAAGTGGAAATTAAATCATTCCAGGAGAAGTTCTGTGGTGATAATGTATTGTTTAATATTTTTATTTATTTTATTATCAGCAGGCAATATCAGTTGAACTTGTACCTGTGAAGTAGCATTAGAAAATAATACGCATTAAGACAAATTGGCTGTAATTAGTTGCTTTTTTTTCTTCAACGAGTGCAATAATTTTTTTGTCATTAATGTTGTAAATTATAACAGGAAAGTTAACATTGTGCCTTCAAAGTATGCCGAATCTAATTTTATCATTTAAGAAAATGACATTAAGATATTATTTAATTAAGATAGAACAGTCTACCTTTAGCCTAATAAACACACATGACATCTATGCCAGTATTGAGTATAACATTAGTACTTAATGCCGTTGTGCCTTTCAAAACTAAGTCATGTAAATTGTGATTCTGCTTTACTTTTATTCCGTTAGGAGTTTGGCCAAGCTGCCAGATCGATTGTTTTCTTACAATTAAATAGGTGTATATTAATTTAATCTTAAGGATGTTATTAGAAAATATATTTGAGGTTTTGTGATTTTTTTTTATTGAAGACTGTTAAAAGGTTCTTTAGTTTTCTGTAGTACCTATTACAAATTAACTGCCTATACATAATTAATTTGATTAATATTCAATTATTATTAAATCTAGATGATAAAGTTGTTAAGTTGCAACAATGTAAATGTATTGAGTGTGATTAAATTAAATATATACATGTATCAATTATTTTTACTAGAGCCAGGCTCTTTTTTATTTTTTATTTTTTAACCTTAATAATTTTCTCCTTCTTCTTGAGAATTGTTAATGTGTGGTGTTTAGCCCTGAAGATGAGGAAGATGAAGATGATCTCAATAAAGATCGAAACATTGGCACAATAAAGAAAATGTTTTTCTAAACCCACATCACACCAGACTGCATCTCATGATCTCTAAATAAGTATTGTTAATATTGTGGTTGTGATCCACTCAACATGTTCATAAATAAATTAAAAAAAAATAGCTGGTAATGTTTTATAAAGGATATTGTTAATTAACAAGTCAAAGCAGCTAAGGCTACTAGCCCCATCCATTGATCACCACAATCCAGCCCTCTGATGCTAACAATTCAATAAAAAATACGATCAAAAGGAAATGGCAGCATTAGTGGGTTGTATTGGCAGAGGCTTGCATCTAGATCTTTGGGAGTCCCTTGGAGGGCATCAATGGAAGGAGATATATGATAATGAAGACAGCACAGAAATGAATTATCAATATTATTAAAGAGAAACCTACAGTAGGACGAAAACTTTAATGGAAAGATAGTAACAGCCTAATGAACGGAACATCTGATACTCATGGCCCCGAAAGGCGACATAAACAGGATGTTTGAGTTCAAACAAAATTTCCAAATAAATCCAAGCACCAAAAAAGTATGGGAAAAAGAGAAAAGCCCCTCTGTTGAGAACAGCACCATCTGCTGTTGTATGGATGAATCTGGAAGGCAGGACGCTACGAGGAAAGGAGTGTTCGGATTTCAGTCCCAGAACCAAATACTCATAACCCATGTTCAAATTTATGTAATTGATAGATGTACCCAGTTCAACTTGAACAAAGGGTACAAAAACAAGATGTTGCATGTCAGAAACCATTCAGCCACTAAAGCACTCAGCACAAACATCACTGGCTCAAATATGTTGCTGAATTGTAAAACTGATCTGAATAGGTTAGGTATGCAAAACAGTTACCCTCTGCTGGGTCAGGCCATTTCATTATTACGTTTAGCATATGGCATCAATTATGACAGATTAGAGCTAAAACAATGTTAGTGTATAAATATTCATTTCCTTTCGGTTCGAGTACATCAGGCATTGGGGGAACATAGTGATTGGTCTGGTGAAACTGGCTATCAGGGAAGGTGTCACACTTTTACCCCTACACCATGGCATGACGAACATGAGGACAAAATGGTTTAAACATAGAAGTGACATTACATGTGGAGTATACTCGGTAAAAATAAAACAATGAAAAGACAAATTGTGCAAGACCTGTAAAAAAATTCAAAATCTTCAAAATTGAAAAAAAAATGTGTGTGCCTGTGAGACGCAGACATTCCCGTAATTATTTCGATGTGAATGGTTTTTATCTGCAACGAAAAAGTTTTATTCAATTCATAGTAGTATTTATATAGAAGGTAAGCCTCCCCCGCTTCCTCCTTTGCGGCGAAATCCCGAAACGCGTCTGAGTTCACAAAAATCAGCGAGATAGGCAGACCAGGATGATGGGTAACTATCAAACAATAAGCAATTAACTCGACTGCAATTTACAGACATAAAAATAACGTTGTTGTCAACACAACAAAGAGAATTTTTTTCTAATCGAGTAACGAACTAGGCCACTTTTCTGAAGGAACTGGTTAAAATAGGCGGTTAAGCCGGTACGGCTCGTGTCGACGCGTGGAAACCATTTTCTTAAGCCAGGCCTCTTATTAAAGCATAGACGCAAAACCGGCACGTTTCATTTTTTTCGGTCGTGCGACAATGCTCCCAAGATTTCCCATTCTTCGCCTAATTAACATGACAAACATGGCATTTAATAGAATGTGAGATATTGCCCATTCACCACGCACGTCGTCCACATATCAATTTGTTCTGTCCCATTTTTTTTTTAAACAATTTACATATCCAAGTTGACGAGAGTTACGGGGCGTTTTTACATGCGGAACCAATAATCCTTAGAGTCATCGTAACCTTTGAAATTTCCTCTTGTTCCCATACTGGCCAGTATGCTGCGTTAGAGAAAAAAAAGAAGCAGACGGTTGAAAGCGGATAACTGTCGGCATTAACTTGCTACAATGGGGTAACTCCTAAAAAATAAGCAAAAGTTATCCATCGACGATACAGCACTAATAAGATGTATGTTTACTGATGGACAAAATAAACGCACCACCCTTAAATTTTAATGTATTTAGTTTATGGTTATTTAGGTTTTGCATTCCGAAAATTTGTTTGATTGTAAACATAAGACAATTAAAAAGTAAATGTTTATTATCAATTTACAAAACTGGTACAAAACTACAAAACAAATGAGTAAAGAACAAAAAAACAGAAAATTAAAAAACCCAACTTATTGTCTCCACCTCAGGCACTTATCATGTACGTTAAACGCCTTTGCATTCCTTGAAAAAGATTTATGCTAAAATCTTGAGGAATTCTTTCCCATTCAACTAGAACTGCCTGTTTCCTTCTAGGATATTCGGACCTGGGTTCACCGTCTACTCGTCGCTTAAGTTGGTCCCAAATGTGTTCGATTGAGTTGAAATCTGGACTTTGAGCTTGAACCAAGCACTGTTCCAACCTCATTCGCGTTGTCATCCACAATACGTGCTCTATGGCATCCAGCATCCTACATTAGCAAGAATCTCTCACCGATGTGGGAGGTCTTGACTCTGTGACATTAGAGGTCTTCCTCGCACAAAAACCAATTCGGTGCGGGTGTCCAAGGAAATGACACCCCAGAACATCAATAACCCACCATGGAATGCCACCTGAGGAACCATGCAGCATGGGACGTACCGTTTTCTCTTGAGCGTCTCCATATGAAATTACGCCACGAAAATTTGAAGCCAACTCTCATCTGTAACTAACTCATTCCGATCTTCCAATGCCCAATTAACACGTTCCCGTGCGAATTGAACCCAGGCTTTTTTGAGCTCAGGTAGGAAGAAGTCTAGGAGCCGGGTGCCGGGCCCTAAGGTTATATTCATTTTCATTTTCCTTATCGTGCCAACGTTTTGATCTTTATTGAGATCATCTTCAGGGCTCAAAGTGTTTGTTTTCCGTGTCATTCCTGTGTGTCGTGTTGAGAGTGCCCAAGAAAAAGAGTAAGAATAAGAATAATATAAAATGGAGTCAAAGAAGGAAAAAGATTAACTGAAAGCGATCTTTAGGTGTAGCAGAATGGAAGGGCATAATGCTACTTTTCTGAAAATGGGATTAATAAGTATAAAATTAAACAAAGGAAGTAAACAAAGCATTTACTGTTTATTTTGACTACGATAGTTCCTATTTACCTGTAACTAATCTAAAAAGATAATGGATTTAATTTTTAACTAAATACATTGAGTGGTGTGTTCAATGTGGCCATCAATGAATTTAATTGGTCCTAGGTAACCAAAGTAATTAAATTGATTTATAATTTTTATGCAAAGTGTGATTAAGACGAAAAATTAGGTTAGAGCAACAAGCGGGGCATAAAGCCGGAGGTCGTGGGTTCGAGTCCAGTTTGTGACACTAAATTTCATTTCAATCACGCATAAAATTTTTAAATCAATTTAAACTAATAAGACAATTATTTTTTAAAGATCCATTGGCAAGGAGAAGTGCTAAACGTGGTTTAATTTCATGCCTATCCGTGACACATATTTTCGATGACTAAATTTTGGTTTTATCATTTTATAGAAGTCTGACCTGTCTGTCATTTCTACTTTCCTTCGTGTCGTTTTAGTTATTAGATAAATACTTTAATTAATAAGGTAAAAGATAATTTTTTCAATTAATAAGAAAACACATGAACATTTTGTTTTCATTAGCAATAAGGAAGAGAATCTCTTATTTTTTCAATTATCAAAAAATTAAAAAAAGGATAACAGCACAATAAAACGAAATTACACCAGATTTCGTTAAGAATAAGGTTAATTTTATCTGAAAATAGGGTGGACATTTGATTAAATGTTTGTTAGTAGTTCAGGTCTTCATTATTTTCACGTTTAAGTATCTACAATGCCACGTCATTCCAACTAATTTACCCACAAACAAACAATGACCAAGCTATACTGGCTTAAATATAAGATCTAAAGCCATTAAATCTCATTCAATGACGCAGAGGAATGCATCAGAAGTTTTCAAAATACCAAGACGTATACTAAACTAATAAACATAAACATAAACAAACCCCGTGGCCTTTCTTATGAAGAGAAATTTGTCTGGCGTTCAGTCAATATGGCGAAATGCTTGACACTTAAACCTATTAAGCAATGATCAAAAATCATGACAAAATAAGACGAAAATGATCAAATGTGGTAATGGCCTTCAACAGATGTACTGAACCGATATTTGAAAAATTTCTGAAAAATCATTCCACCTACTCTTGTATCAAAGAAAGGATTACATGCAGTGCTAGATTTTTTGTGTGCTATTTTACGCAAAATTAAAAAACTTTTAATTGTATTGCTTCAAAAGCAGTATGAAGTCATGTTGCTTAATTTAAACATTGACTGAAGGTAACTTTGCTCCGTAATTTAAACAAATAATGTATTGAATGTTAGTAGAGCTATTGCATGATGTGTAATCAAACTTAAAAGTAAATTTAGATACCACAAGCAACGCGATGTACTTTTTAATCAAACCAATCTCAAAATTTTAACAAAGATACCCCGTTTTATTTATTGTATTTGCACAAAGCTTAAACCATTAAAGACCATTTTTGGCAAAGAAAAAGTAAAATTTACGGGTTTGTCTAAACAATTTTTATATTTGTATATAACTCGTTAATCAACGCTGGATCCGTAAATTTTCTCGTCGACCTCTTTTTACAAATTGGTTTTATAGTTTTATGTAACTGCTATGTATTTGATTCATGGTGTACGTTAAAAGGTCATTAATTTCCATGATATGTCCAGCAACAGTCAAACAATCACTTTTATTGACCTAGAACTATCATTTTGCCTAAGAAGACAGAGCCTTTCTTTCTCGGCGTCCTTTATTCATGCATGAATTATTTGGTAAACGATTGACTGGATGATAGGGGCCTTTCAAGGCTTCATACTAAGTGAAAAATAATATTTTTTTATACAGGTCGTGAAAACTACTCAAAACGATAAAATCAAAGTGTAATAAAAAAGTAGGCAGATTTTACAAATTATTTTGAATTTATTTATGTTAAGAAGGCGAACCTGTAGTTTTGTCGTTTCATATCATTTTGACTTGTCTAGTCTTAAATTTGTCCCTCGTTGCCTCAAAATGACCTTATATGTTAAAAAGGAGCCAATATGGATTCGCAATGCATCGAACTACGTTATGGCCTAGCACCTTGTTACAAGAAAGGCTACGACCAATAATGGATCCTTACTGAGTCGAAAACCTAGTGGAACAATAGGGGAAACAACAATTCGTAGAAGGGTCATCCGCAAGACCTAGAAGGGAATCACAACAGAACCGGGTTCTTGTTGGACTCCAGGCCTGGTAGGTAGCAGTAAAGACTGAAGAAGCGTTGTGCAGATACTGCCAGAAAGAAGAGGAGACATTGAAGGATTAAGTCAATCGGCTAGGCGTAGGCGATTGCTTGTAGGGCGAGCGTTGATGTCGTCCTGTTGGCTTTGTTACTTCTTAGCAAGGATATCTTATGACTTTGTTCCAGCATGATGGTGATGGTGATGAGGATACCAGGAACCGGGCTTTGTGCTCCCCAGGCACTGCAGCCTTGTAGCTTACTGCACCTTCCTAGTTCCTTAGTTCAGTGCAATAGACTCAATCCTTCTCCTTAGAAATACCAAGTCATTGACTGTCGCTGATGCAATTTGTTTCCCTAAGTTTTAAGTTATATGTTAGGTTAAATCTCCATTAAGCTGTTGCTTCGCATTCGAAGATGATATGGGTGGCTGTTTCCTCCTCCTCATTACATAATCTGCAAATGGGATCATCGTTGTATATGCCCATGTTGTGTAGATGTTTTCTCAGATGCCAGTGACCTGTTAGCAGTCCTACCACTCCTCTGAGGGTGGCCCTCTCCGATTGCAGCAATGCTTTTGCCAGTCTTGGTGAAGGTTGTTCCATCATAAATTTACTGTGTCTAGCACCGCTAGACTTCATCCACTTCTCCTTTTGTTTTGTTTGGATCCATTCTGCGATGGAGGATGGATTCTATATTTGTTTTTGTTATCCCAAGTGTACGGGGCCTATGTATAGTCTTGCAAATCCTGCTCTAGCCAGTGGTCTGCTTTTTCGTTACTCAAAATTCGTTTGTGTCCTGGCACCTAAGATATAAAGTTGTTGTGTTTCCCCAGGTTTTGGAGATTTTGGATGCATTCACTGACAAGTTTTGATGTGATTTTTTTACATGCTAATACTTTAATAGCTGATTGGCTATCAGATCTCATGAGGATTTTTTTTTCAGTGTAACCTCTTAAGATTTTCTAGGGCACAAAGCGTTATGGCATGCATTTCTGCTTGGAAGACAGAAGTGCACTTGAGTTTGATGATGATTTTTTCAGCTCTATCTCTAGGTATTTAACTCTGTCGCTTTGTTTTATCGACTTGACAACGGGTGCAGTAGCAAGTTTACCCCACGAGCGTACGGAATTTATCGGGGGATGTTTTCAATAATAGAAAAAGCAGGACGAAGACTTACTTATAGAAGGATAGGGATAGGGACAAAAGAGGCAGTCACAAGGCCTATTGCATCTCGACCTGAATAGATCTATTGCGCTCCCCAGTTATTTTACTGGCCAACTTCAGGTTGTTAATAAGCCTCCATAGCTTTGCCAGCGGCTCCTTAATGTATTGGGTTGTCCGGAAAATAATGCAGGATTTTGGTATTAAACAAAAAAAAGAAACTAGTTACTTTAAAGCAATGTTCTTTAATCAAAATAATTTCCCATACTCTCAATACATTTCTCCCAACGTGTTGGTAACTTATTAATTCCGTCTGAGTAGAATTCAGAATTTTTAGAATTGATAAAGTCAATAAATGCATTTTCCAGTTCCGTTTGATTTTTGAATATTATGTGTTGTAAGTAGTGGTCCAGGTGTCTAAAAAAATGGTAGTCAGTAGGCGAGAGGTCCGGAGAGTAGGGTGGGTGAGGCAAAGTTTCATAGCCAAGCTCCAATAATTTTTGTGACGTTACACGTGACACATGTGGTCGAGCGTTGTCATGCAACAAAATGGGCCCTTTCCGATTGACCAAAGAGGGCTTCATTACTGCCAATTTCTGATGCATGGTATTAATTTGGTTACAGTATGATTCAGCATTGATGGTTTCGCCAGGATTTAAGAAGCTGTAGTGTATTAAACCAAATGAAGCCCACCATACCGTAACCATTACCTTTTTTTGATGAGTTGGGGGCTTTGGAAAATGTATTGGAGCTTCTCCTTTGTCGAGCCACTGTCCAGAACGTCTAGTGTTATCGTAGAGAATCCACTTTTCGTCACATGTAACAATTCTGGCCAGAAATGGGTCATTTTTGTTTCGACAAAGAAGTGATGCACAAACATCAAAGCGCTGATTTTTTTGGCGATCGTTTAATGAGTGTGGAACCCAATTTTCGAGTTTTTTCACTTTTCCAATCGCCTTGAGGTGGTCAGCGACGGTCGGTTTACTGACTTTGAGTTGCTCTGCAAGTTCTCGAACAGTTGTTTTGGGGTTTTCTTCCACCACTGATCGCAGAACATCATCATTAAGAGAGGAAGGCCTTCCACGACCTTCTTCATCTTCAAGGCTGAAATCTCCCTCCCGAAATTTTTTAAACCACCTTTGCACAGTGCACTCATTAACACAACCCTCGCCCCAGACTTGGTTAATGTTTCTAGCCGTTTGGGCTCCGCTTCGGCCGAGTTTAAACTCGTAAAAGAAAATCGTACGAAATTCTCGCTTTGACATTATAAGGATGACTGAATTATTTCCAAGTAGCGGAATGCTACAGAGGTAAACAAACAATATCATTTGGAAGAGGATTAATAAGTGTTGACATTCATACAAATGAGTAATCCTGTAAACGTAAACAGAATATTTTATATAGATTTTTTTTAATGAAAACTTAAAATCCTGCATTATTTTCCGGACAACCCGATAGGATCTTGCTTGCGGTTTTTCTTGTCCTAATTGCAAGAACCTGCACCTACATAGACCTAGGGAAACATAGAATGTGTTCTGCGATCTTTTCTTTTTCCTGGCAGTACCTGCATAGGGTTTCTTTTGTTCGTATTCCTATCCCAATGCTCGCGCATTCTTAAGGCCAACAAGAAAACTAGCTCTGTGGTGATTACCGTCCAGTAATTCTCTTCGCGTGCCTCAAGCCTGGACTACTGTCTACCAGGTTTTGTACTCATTGAGGGTCCATTTTTGAATGTTTCCTTTTTTTGTTTGATTGCTAGGCCACAATAGAGTTCGGGGCTCCTTTTTTGCCAAACATGTCCATGTTCTACTTGCCTCTATGTCCCGAAAGATCAGGGACCCATGCCAGAGGTCAGGTTATTGATATCACTGACTTCTGCCAGGGCCTCCCTGGCTAATACATAAAAACATAAGGCTAAGGCCTTAAGTGCCACCTGATTGTCAGAGAAAATGGCTGTCTTCCTGGAATGTGTTCCTAGCCTTTTTAGTTCTTTGTTGCAGTGTTGAGTTACTAACATTTCAGACTATAAAACTATAGCGTATTTATCGAAATTCAAAGCCACTTTGGTTTTCGGAGTCATCCCGAGGACTCCAGCTCCCCAACCTTTATTTATTTTTGGGTCGTTGGGATACCAGTGGGAGTTGGTCTTCAAAAATGTTCCTTTGGCCCACGCTTCCTTTTCTTGTATAGTACCTCGTATGTGTTGTTGAAGTTATTTTTTGGAGTAGTGGCATTGATTGTCATGCCTAGTATGGCATCAGCATCTCTCTCATTTTCCATTGTTAGTTGACATGGCCTATCCTTACAGATGTCCATTTAAATTAAACGTGTAAATCCGGCACAGACGTTTTTGAAAATAATCTTTATTTCAAATCTACACAATTATTATTGCGAAAATCTTCCCTGTACGCAAGTGGCAGTGCCCTGTCAGGAGTCCAACCAGAATCCTGGTCCGGTTCCTTCCAGTAATTCTTTCGTAAGTTTTGCGGATGATCCTTCTATCAACCTCTTCGCGTACCTCGTACATGTATGGTATTGTTCCACAAGGTTTTGGACTCATCAAGTTGTATCCTCATCATTTCAAGTTGTATCCTCTTTTGTAGGATGCTGAGCCTATCCCTACTTATAGAGAAGGTCAATTGTTAATTGTTATATTTAATTAATTCTATTTTAACTATGGGGAGGATCAATGAGTGGTGAATGGGTGATTGATATCAAACGTCGATATTTAGGTTTGTTGGTTTTTCTTTTAAATTAAAATTATTACGATTAGACAGTTTTTATAGTGCAGTAAGGAAAAAAAAAAGAAAAATGATCCTTCGATTCATTGGGCAGGGTTGAAGGGCTAAAAACATCGACAAAGAACGACTTTTCGTCCCTGGTTAAATTAGGCGAAGATTGATTTTCTTGTTGGGTTTTCAATGAGGAAAAAGTGCGAGGGCGAGGAGGAGGGCGGCCGAGATGGAAGGAGGAGGCGGTGGCCGTGGCGTCGCGGGGCCTCGTCCGACAGATCACATTCTCAGCTACCGCGGCGCGCTTCGCAGGAGTCACATTCGATTCGTCCCATCGGCAGAAGATCGTTCACTGGATAACTCGACGCAGCTCATCCCACGGTACTTCGCCGAGGACTTCATGACGGAAATTGCGACGGTGGCACGGGGTATACGGGGGGGAGGGTGGGGAATATAATACCTCCCCCCGGATTAAAGGAAAGTGAGTATACAGTGCTTTTTTTTGTATAAATTTTAAAAGTAATTTAAAATTTAACGAGGCGAGTGGAGGAATCCGAAATATTTCCTCTCTAGAAGCATGTAATTTTTTTTTGCTGAATTCTTAAATTTGAACTCAGTTCACCCCCAAGGGAAAAAAATTGATAAATTACTTTTAAATATGTGATCCAATTGATTCGATTTACTGTAAAACAATAAAAAAATTAATAAACGGGTTTTTTACGGTAATTCACATGGAGTTGGACTAGTTACCTCAATTTTCATGGGAGTGGTACGATACAAATTGTTCTCATTGTAGATTATTTTTTATCTGATGGACTCACCCGTTTTCATCACTATCATCAGCATGAATCTTACTTCTATTATCCATAGAAATTTTATAACGAACGACATGCCAAAGATTTAATTATTAAGCACAAAAGTAAAAATAGTAAGCAACAAACAGAACTAAGCACTAGTCTAATCTCTTATTGCGTATTAAACCTTAATAATAAATATTCTTGTTTAAAGAGAAATTTAATTTGATCTTAATGTTAAATTTTTTATGTAAACATTGAAATAATAATTTTATTTCTCACATAGATCAAAAGTTTTTTTTTGCTATCGCATGTACAATTACTAGAATTATTGCACGATTATTACTAGAACCCTCAAGTATGCGCAGTTTTTTCATTTTTATGGGAAATTTTGATCAAAAATTGTTTTGCCAAAAAGTCTCGACTGACTATTTTTATCAGTGAAAACTCGTTGGTTCGCAGTATGAAATTTAAATGTTTTCAAATGTGTAGGGGTGTTTATATGGCGTGCTTAAGCTCATAATATTAATAATCTGAGCGGTGTTAGTTATTTTAATTTTTTCTCCTTTTCACTCTGTCAGATTTATTCTTTAGCATTGAAGCGTGGGAAGATCGAGAGCTATACTTGGGAATAAAAATGTTTACAACTTTTTTGTTTTTTTTGTTTATAAAATTTTATGAAATGGCATTTTTTTAAATAACGTATTGCGATTGTGGATACACAAAAATTTTATGTTGGGCCTGTTTCTCTTTTTGTTCAGCTGTTAATGGCTTTTTCTAAATTAAAAACAGAAAAAGTATTTCGATAAAATGTTTCATGTTGACAGGGTCAAGAAGAAAATGACAATCTAGTGCACCAAGAAATCACTTTTGTACAATTTATTACGGTCGTCTTGTATAATTTTGTATTGGATAAGCATGATTGAAATAAGTACTCTTTGTTATATTCAGAAGTTTTTTTACATTATTTTTAATAAATTTGAATGAGAAAATATAATTTGACCATGCTGTGTTCGATTGCCTTCTCGCAGATCGATCCTGTCGACTTGAACTTCGATGACAAAACGTGGTTAAAAAACTTTATTGAAAAGTATTAAGTAATAAATATATTTGTAAAAAAACCGACGGTTTTTATTATGTGTGGTCTAGGATAAATGCAAAATTATGAGATTTCTCGTTGAGGTTTTCATGGCGGTGGTTTTTTTTTTTTGATCTGAGGAAATATGATCCTTTCCAATCTGATGGTTTGATCTATGAGAATCTTTTCAAATTATTTTTCAATTTTCATACTTTTAAAAATTTCAAAACAGTTAAATAATATTAAAATATTTGTTAGGAAACTAATTTATTAAAGGTAAGTTTAATGTTTAGGTAAGGTAATGTTTATAAACATAAAAATTTTTTTTCTTAGATTTTGATCAATTACATCTTTGTCATATATTGTGAAATGGCATTGCACGTCCGTTTTGATTATTACTTTAATTGTATTACTAGATAGACATAATTACTCCTAAAAACACAGTAAAAAGGAGTATAAACTTTCCTTGAATGTGAAACAAAAGCATTAAGTATATGTATGATTGTTTCGTTAAGAAAAAGCTCTGTAGTTGAAAAAAGTTTTTCTACGAGATAAATTATCTCTGCCGATAAATCCTTGTCACCCTTCTTTACGGTACAAAATAATAATGGGTTTTACGGTTCATTTTGGTGGGCTATCATTTTTCCAGCTCGAATTTTTGAGATCTACTTCAAATGGCGCTTGTGAACCGACTGTCAATTTGTTATAGTAGATTCGCTGGAAAATTTAGTCTTTTATCATTTCATTTTAATAAATTGATCGAACAGCGAGGATCGGCAAAGATTGATAGTTTATGATCCTGCAGATCCTAAGAGGAAATCTTCAATTAAAAGAATGTCTCGATATTTTCTTTTTTTAAAGAGGGTCGTTCCTTGGCATTTTATTTCTGCGATTGATTTTTCATCGCTTTCAACACCCCGGAAAACAATTACCTGTCGGCCATTCAGAGAGCATTCAGTATAAAAGCCCAACACGGAACGGTAATAACCGTGAATATGACGGTTTAACAAAAGAGTAATTTCGTTTCATGAGTTGAAAAAAAAGCAAACAAAACATTTTTATACTTGACCTGTAGTAATCATAATCATTGGAATATTCCATCCATGAATCGCTGAATCATCATGCTCTTCAAAACAGAATCTGAGGTGTAACACTCGGAGATTTTGAAAAATACAGTTAGTGTTTATGCCATTTCCTCCTTTGCATTGAAAATTATAATAAAGACAGGATGAAGAGAAATCGTATGAAAAGGAAACGCCTTGGACGATAGCATCTTTATAAAATATCTATAAAGTTCATATTGGGGGCGTCGGTGGCCGCGAGGTTTCGTCTTTGACACGGCGCTCATCACTGTAAGGTAAAAGTCCCGGGTTCGAATCCAGCGGCCCTGCATTCAAACCCGACATATTTACAAATGGGCTTTTTTTCAAAAACACTGGCACCCTGAGGGTTTATATGACCTCTGCTGTTGCGAACCCTCGTCAAAAAAAAAAAAAAAAAAAAGTTCATATTGTATAAACTATGCATGTCCGTCATCTTTTCCAGACATATTTGTATTTTGGCCAGAAGGAAGTTCTTACTTGACAGTTTAGATTTGGTGATGATAATATAAGCGAACCCGTTTCTTTTCGCCATTAAGCTCAAGCCGAGCCAGCGGATCCGATCTTCCCTTTTACCCTCCTACATTCTCCAGACCCCGCTTTGTTATTCAAAATCTTTTTCGCACAGTTAATTACAAAACGAAAGTGGGACTACGGAGAGTTGATTGCGGATCCGAAAACCACCGGGTGCAGGGAAAAAAAGGACATAGATTTAACACATGGATATGCCTCCGGGTCGTAAATAGGGCGATTCGACGAGGATAAAAGGGAAAAGTGATCGGAGATTGAGAAACGGAATGGTGACGCGTGAAAATGGCTAAGAAAGGATCGCAAAGATATTCGGGTCATACTTTCCTTTTTACAACGGGCCTCATTGGCATTGGTCGATGACGTTAATTGAAATTAAATTATACTTACCACCCCCTGGAAGGCTGAAATTATCAAATTCAAAAACGCTCGAAAAGAACTGTACTGAAGTTGTAGTGCATCCCAAAGGATGAAGACAGAATAAAGGCCGAATTAAAAGACCTTCTACCATTTGTTTATGCTGTTTTAACCAGATGCCAAAACTGGGTATACTATCAAAACAAATGTCGCTCAGAAAAACAAAACATGATACATAAAATCGCTTCACTATATGAATTCCACTAAACAGATTAATTAAGTAAAATAGTTTAAAGTAACAACTTAACCTAAAAGATTCTCTTTTCTGTATGTCTTATGTTTCTATGACAGTCAACGAACAATATCATGATATGCTGGTTAAATAAAATTTGACCCCAACTGCTCAATAATACAAAGTTAAACTTTTATAACTTAAGTTTACACTCGGAACAGAAATAGGTCATAGAATGTATGATGGAAGTGTTAAAAGGCACATCCAACTTAGCGCTTGAGCTATTTTTTCCAGATGTCAAAATTTACTTAGTGGCCAAAACCAATTTTGTTAAAATGTTATGATCCATAAAATGGTTTTCTATATGCAGATTAATTAGTGCAATTTTAGTAAATTAACTCGAAAAGATGGCATCCGTGCTATCAGGTAACTTTTCCGCATGTCCTTACGTTTGAGACGATTTCCTCCAGTCCATAATACAAATATTAAACCTTAATAAAGTTCAGCTCTTCTGAAAAGAACCGATGTTTAGAATCTATGGTATCATGAAGGATAGATGGGTGGAACAGTTAAAAAGCTACAGCCGAAGTTGGCTTAAGCTGTTTTATCAATATGTTGAAATTGTCTTAACGACCACAACCAACATATTTAGGAAAAAAAAGCGTGAACAATAAAATCAATTCTGTCCATTCCTCTAAGAATGTTAATTAAGAGGAGGCGTCGGTGGCCGCAACGGTTTAGGCGTTGACACGGCGCTCATGACTGTAAGGTAAAGGTCCCGGGTTCGAATCCAGCGGCCCTGCATTCGAACCCGACATACTTACAAAATTTTTTTTTTAAAAAACACCGGCACCCCGAGGGTCGATATGACCTCTGCTGTTGCGAACCCTCATAAAAAAAAGAAACAAAAGGAACATATTAATTAAGTAGAATATTTTAAAAACCTAAGAGATGGTAACCTTTCTTAATGGGCAACTTTTCTGAAAGTCCTTTCCGTTTGAGGCAATTTCTGTCAAGAGAAAATATAACATATTCCTTGCTTCCTCGAATCGAACCAAACGCGTGGCGGTTAAAATGTACATTAACCTAAACATTTTCTACTCTGAAGAATTCATAGCGACACTGAACAATTATAAACGTTTAAAACGGCTTTCTTTATTAATAAACCGTCCGAACACAACGGAAACCGACGTCGAAACAATAGAAGGGCTATATTGTTAAGAGGAAAATAAGACTGGACTTGAAGGAGAGTGACAGGGCCTCTTCTTCCAGGAACAATTAATTGGTGAAACAGGACGCAATGGACAAGAGACGTAAATTGAAGGAAGCTTCAGGTAACAATCTTCCAGTATCGCAAATTTGGCTTATAATTTCTTCTCTAACGTAACTGAT